GCAAATTTACAAGTAGTTAACAATTTTATCTCAAACATTTATTTTCGTAGAAACTTATCTAGTTAATATAACTGTATAAAAGCTAATACTTTAGTTTTTTATACTTTACAGAATAAAGAATGACTAAAGAAAAATTGTACTTTAATTTAATATTAGATAAATTTACGGATTCTTAACATAACAGAAAAATGATAGAAGTGGCTTATTTTGATAAAAATGATTTTACTCCTATAAATTATTTTACTCTTATAGAAACAGTAAGAAATTTTTATGTTATATAATATTGACTAATAAACGTTTAGCCTTTGTTTTATTAATATGTTTAAAATATATTATTAAATATTTTTTTATGTTTGGTTATAATAAGCCTCTTGAATAAAATCAAATAAGGAATTGCTACATTTAACATCACATAATTTCACTGATGAAACAGAACTAAAATAGATTACAACTAACCAGACGCTTAAAAATAATATTAATTTCAGATAAAATTATATTTTCAAACATTATTGATAGATTCATTGCGCAAGTTTTTATCATCTTTTCTAATTATATTTCAATTAAAATAATGTGTGTACTAAAATAAAATTATTCTAATCCTATATAATTATATCCAATTTTTAAATATAAAAAGTATAGAAATATATAAATTATTTTTCTTTCATTGCATTAAATAAAAATTTGCAAGCTTAATTTCAAAATAGTTAAAACATAGAAGTCAAATATTTCAATAAAGATAATATTTAATGTCTATGTTTTAATCTAATATTAGTATGAAATTAAGGATTTTCTCTTCTAATACTGACAATGAATCATTATAAAAAATTTGTGACATGTATATGCATTAAACTGCAAAATAAATTGAAAGTGTAATTAAAATAAATAAAAATTACTACATAAGCTTCAGTTTTTTTTAAATAGATACGATTTCTCATCTTTACAATCGCTAAAATATTTTACTGATAAATCTGACATTCATATATTTAAAAATTAGATAAAATTTTTAAATTATATGTATTAGTAAAAGCATGTTCTTTAAATTTATTACCTTTAAAATTTAATACTTAAATTTATTATTTACTTAAAATATATTTTAGTTAAATGAAAAGAGAGAGAGAGAGAGAGAGAGAGAGAGAGAGTGAAAAGTTTAAATGTATATTTTTCATATAATTACTTACTAAAAAATTTTTTAATATAATAATTGAACTTTTAATAATTAAGCATTAATAAATTTTTTAACTTTTCAGCAGTTTAATAATATGCAATTTTCGAATCCTCATGCTTTTAAAATTCACTATATAAAAAACTAATTAGTGATTTATTATAAAAAAATCAAATATTATTAACTTATAAATTCAATATATAATTCCATTCAATATATAATCAATATATATTTTATATTATTATCAATCGTCATGAAAAAAATTAAATTTATAAAAATTGTGACCTTCAGAGTAATATACTGTTATACAATAATAGACAGTATTTCTTTTATCTTTTCAGTGTTGTATTTATTTTAATAAATTAACAATATACCTATGTATTATATTCAAGAAAATTAAAAAATTGAAATAACCAACAATGTGTCTTCTTGATTATCTAATTATCTAATTTGGTACGTGAATTCACATTAAACTTTGAAACATTGAAAGCAATATATAACAAATAACATAAATATGATCGAAATTTTTATCTTTCTTTATATAAAAAGATGAAAATTATGTGTAAAATGATGTAAAATTATGTATCTTATGTATACTCTACGAATTAATTTTAAAACACTAATATGTACATTTTTTATTTGTTTCTATTTTTACTTTACTTCATTATGCTATTTGAATATGCATATTTAGAAACTAAAGAATTATATCGGAATTTTAAACAATAAAAACATAACCTTTATTAACTCCGCTATTAATACCAAAAATAATAAAAAGTATAAAATCGAAAAAATTATGTGAATAGCAATCAATTATACATTTTTTTCTTTTTATTTAAAAAGTGATTGAATTTATATAACAATACTTTTGAAATATGATAATGACTTTATATCATTAGAAAAAAATTATGTCGCTATATGTGATAGATTTTGCTATAAATTATTCTTAAATAATAAATTTTAATATATTATTTTTTCGAACATTAGTGCGTAGTATATATTTATAAAACACGGGCACGAGCGCACATACTCAACAGACACACACATGCACAGACACGTCTTATTTTCCTATTAGATCATCCTTTAATAATAGCTTCTATATTTATTATTTAGTTTAATCTAGTTTAATAAAGGATTTTTGCAAAATATACGTTGGATAAATGACCGCTTCTTATAGAAATCTGGTAACAAGTGATTTCATCACGAAACTATCCTTTATTGTGTTAAATTAAAGAAAAATATGTTTGACGTACGTTGCTTTTTATTATATGATTTTCAACTTTTATCAAAATAAAACTTTCTTATCATTTTTATTTTTTTTTATCATCAACTTATTGTTAAACGTAGATTAGTATTCCATAAGTAATATTTTATTACACGAGAAAACAATTTAATAACATATCTTTAAAAAACAAAAATACACATTTAAAATATTCTTAAAATACATCCAAATAAAACAAATTTGTATTTAATTTTTAATTAAATGTCGCATTCCTACAATATTTTATTAATATACTGCAGATCTCATACTTGTATCAATTTTAATTTTTTTATTTTACATATTGTAAATTAAAACATTTGAACATTATATTTAGATTTATTATACATTTAATAACTCTTTCTTACCTGCTTATGATACATTACAACCAGATAATTTTATATAATCTCTTATATAAGTTATTGACATAATTATTTTAATCTGAAATGAAATTTTACATAATATATTTGACATGCATTTACGAGCTAAATACATAATTCAGAATATCATTTTTTTTCAATTAATTTATCTTATTTCTCTTGATAATAAAATATACAATACAGTACGACAATAGAAAAAAAGCATAATGATACCTTAAATAGATAAATTTACAAACTCGCAACAGAGAATAACTGTATTCTATTGGGTATAATAACTATTTCCTGTATTTTATTCATTTTTTGTTGTCAAATGTAGACATAATTTATGCAACATAATTAAATCGAAGCATCCGTAAGTTCTGTAAAAACTTCAGATTTGCTATTTTGTTATATAATGTTTTTATTAAAAATGTTGCATCAATTCAATAAATCAAATTTGTACTGCAATTAATTTACATATATTTAGTATTTAGATTAAATTCACTGCTAATAATCAGAACAACAACATTAATTTTTATTGTATTCTTTTAATAGAATCTAAAGCTTTATTTAATAAAAGTTTGAAAATGTTTAATTACTTTAAACACTCGTTTTTCTTTATATAGTAATATAGTGTTCCTATTTAATGAATCTTAGTAAACAGAAAACAAAAGCCAATTTTTAAAGAGAAATTTTGTTAGAAATAAATTTAAATATAAACCAAACTAAGTTAAAGAATAAGTAAAATATTTTTATAAAGTAGTTGAATGATAAGAATAAGTTGTAAGATAAACATTTTATATTCTTTTCACTTATTTGAGACCTTCTATGCTACATTAGAATTTAGCAATAATAATTTTTCTCTTTGTAACATAAAAAATTAGTAAAATTTCACATTCAAAATTATACATCAAGTTTATAGTTCTTCGTACAATCAATTTTTCACTATTATTAAAAAATCATTTTTGCTATGAAATTATAAAAATTGTTCTCTTATTTTTTGAAATAATATATAATATGTATATTTAAGGCGTTGTAATAAATTATTTATCAATATTTTTTTTTTTAAATGTATTAAATAGAAAAATTATTTCATATTGAAACAGTGATTCATTTAATTATTTTGTGCATAAATATTATTTATTTTCAAATGAGATAAGATAAACCCTTTATTACAATAATTTGTATGTTTATTATTTTTTAAAATTATCTAAAACCACTGCAATTGATGTCTCTGTTAAAGCTTCTTCATTTTTTATTCAACAAGTGAAAGGAAAAATGAATATTACATCATGTAGTATTTTAAGTTAATTTCTGTGGTGCAGAAGTTTCTGCAGAAAAGTCTAGGAAACTAGAATCTGAAAACGAAAGTTTATAAAAATGGAAAAAATTATTTAAAGGCATATTTAAAGATATTTATGTGTACGTTCTCAATATTCGATCAGAGTGTAGGTGTAAGTACATACATACATATATATATATATATATATATATATATATACACGTGCGGACACGTTCCTGCATGTGTATGAATGCAATGATATGTTTCTTTATGAGTTGATTAATTGTGTGGGCAGTGTGTGCACGAGATCAACGAATGGCATAAAAAGAGAACGCAAGAAAGAGACAATCGTTGATAGAGCCAGATTGTGCGAGGGAGAGGAAAAATATATATACACAGCGAAAGAGAGAGAGACAGAGAGAGAGAGAGAGAGAGAGAGAGAGAGAGAGAGAGGGAAATGATCGAGTGAGTCAAACTCCGCGGGTTTCTTAGATAAGGTTCGGTTGGGTTTGGCTGAGCTAAAATCAGTTAGAGCACGCGCATCAGTGACGGGTGTCAAAAAGCGTGTACGATAGTTCACGCAAGACGAAGAAGAGAAGAAGCCAATATTTCGTTTTCGTTGAATTGTCGCGAATATCATTAGCCTGTCATACACTTCAAGACCCACGATCATATTGTTTCGAAAGACGGCAAGTAAATGTACGCCGTAAATTAACTACAGAAAGAACTCGTATCTCGATTATTACACATTAAAAAATGTTACATTATGTATGTGTATACGTGAGTGTGTGCCTCGGTTTGGATTTGTGACAATTAGAAATCAGTGGTATATACAGTGTACGCCAAAAGAATATGTATCAATATATTTTTTAACTTGCTTTGGTGCGTGTTGATTATCGAAAGACGTCGGTAACCGAGTGCTTGTTACTACTAATTTGAACCTTAATTCCAACTTTCAAAACAAACCTTAGTGCGTTCTTTGTTTGGATTGTGATCCTGATAAAAAGGATGTCTGCAAATTTATTGAATAATGTAGATCCTTTTAATGAGACACAACATGACACTGATCTTACTCACATAGGTATGTTATTATGTTTGTTTAATTATGTTAATAATAAGAAGCATACTATATATATTATGAAGCACACTAAAAATATTTGAAAACATTTTACAAATACTAAAAAGTTATAAATTTGGTAACAAATGTTGATTAACGTTATAGATCATATAACTATAACTGTCAAAAATTATTTTGCAAACAGCTTATAACTATTTTGTTATTTCAACTGTATAAGTTCATTAAAAAAAAATTTTATTGTATTAATATAAGTTTTTACATTTAATATTTATTATTAAGATACCATACACGCGCGCATGCACATACACATGCACACGCGCATACGCGCGCGCACACACAAAAAGTGAGACACACAAGCACACATAAATTTTAATAATTTATCAACTAGTTACATAAAAATAATTGAAAACATGTAATTTTTAATGGCAAAAAGATAACAACTAAATGTCTTACAAAAGAAAATTTTTAGAAGGTATTAATATAATAACCAGACTTCAACTTTTTAAAATCAATTTAACAATTTTCACAATTGTAATATTTCTATGCATTTTATTTTGAATAATGTTTAAGTAGATTCATCATAGTAATTTATTTCATATTATAATTTTAGAATACAATTTAAAAGAAAATGGAATTAGTGATGAGGAAAATAAAAAAGAAAAAGAGATACCAAAGCAGTTACTATGTGCTGAACCATTAACACCTGAAGAAGTTCGATGGTTATATAGAGATGATGTAAATAAAAGGTGGATGGATTTTTGTGGATATGACAGTTTAAGAATAGAAAAGGCTTGGAGACAAAGGCAAGATAATACAAATGAAAATGAAAATACTAATAATTCTCTGAATATTGAAAGAGTTGTTGTCAGAGGTGGAATGTATGATGTTGAATTAGAAAATATGAAGTGTGTTTCCATATACTGGCCAGGTAATTTATTATATATCTTAATGCTATCTTATAAAACAATATCAAATTCTAATTTTTAACATTAAGCAATTCAAAACTTATAAGGAATTATTGTGCAATGAATTTGTACAATTAAAATAGACAATATTTAATATTGGATTTCAAATGTAGATGGCTATATTATTGTCTATATTACCAGAAAATTATTTAAGCAATTTGGAGAATTAATAATGATTTTAAATATTATACGCCCTTACGCGCAAATAAATAAAAACGTGATATAAATTTACTATTTAATGCTGATTAGGTCACGCGTCAAGATTCTCTCCAACTAAATGTTCGAAAATGTTTTGATAATATACTAACCTCTACGCTGATATGGATTATATAATAAAAAATAAAATACTACACTGAATGAAATAAATTTAACAAAGTACAATATACTACAGCAATTTTCTAATACTACTCATAATTTAATTCATTTTCACTCAGAATTCTTATGACACATTTATAAATTCATTTACATGTACGTATCAATTTGAAATTTAAAAATTATATTTAATTGTATAATTTTTATACTTTTAAAGCTTTATTGGGTGAAATTATCATACTTTAATTTACTAAAGTATAGTTTGTAAAACTAATTTTATTTTTGACCATTTGACTGGTTTGATTGAGTTTTAAATTTAAACGCGGGAAATTCAAAGATCATTCAACTGAAAATTACTCAAAAATGTAGTTGATTAGATAATAGTTTTAATTACATATATAAGATAATATCATCTTATCATAATAGAATAATGCAAGACTTAAATAAACTTAATTATAAAGAAACTAATGTAATTATAAACTAATATCTACAGTTTATTCGTTTATTTATGCACATGTAATTATTAATTTCGTTCAAAGTATTTTGTTTATTACTAAAATTATACAAGATTAAACTTTTATAATACATTTTAAATCCCTGGCTTATTTAAATTATTTCATAAAAATGTGCAATTATTTTATTATTCGGTACAATTTCGAAATATTTATCAAACTAATTTAATTTATTATTTGTACACGTTTAGTGTAACAAACATTGGTATATCTTCGAATTTATTATAAATAGCTTTTTTAATTTCTCTTGTAGGCTTTAATTGTAAAATAATAACCTGTTTTTATATAAATTTATATATTTCCCAACTTTGTAAAACCAATCGTAATAAAAGATGAACAGTGTAAACGATTTTTTTATAAGTAAATCAAACAAAATTTTGTAATATTTTATATAATTTTGTATTTATATAAAAAGATTGATTTTAATAATTAAAATAAATCCCATTTAAATTATAAGAAAATACGATTAAATTTTATTAATATAGTTTTTATATTACAAACAATAATACCATTTACTTATACATATTTTAAAAATTGTACATAAAGACTTTAGTTTCGTTAACTGTTTATATAATTTTAAATTCTAAAATTAGGTGTAAGTAATATAAATACAAAAAGCGAATAAAATAAATTGTAAGAATTTATTTACGATAATGATGATAAAAAAACATTTTATAATAAATATTTTAAATCTTTAGAATAATAGATAGATTTTCTTTTAAGTATTAGTATTAAAATACAATGCTTCAAATGTTAAACTTTTGTTACTAATTTTTATGTTTTTATTTATTTACTTTCAATTTCAAAACTCATTTAAAATAATAACTAATCATTGAAATAATTATTCATTTCATTATAATAGTGTAATTATGTAATTAGCATCATAAGAATCATAAGCATTAATAAAAAATATTTTATAATATGGAAATTTTATATCGAAAATAAATTTTTATTTATGCAGATTATCAGATTTGTTTTAAATTAGCATACATAAACGTTATTTGAATAAATTATTTTTTTAACAACTAAAATAAAATAAAAATCGAATATACAGTTGACATGAATATTTATAATTATTAAAACTGAATGCATTAAGAATACAGTGATTGAGAGAGAAGACAAAATTTTAAAGTATTTACATTTTCATTTAACAACACTATTATTTTGATGAATGTAAATAACAAATTACAGATTTATTATATAAATGATAACTATCCTAAATCAATTATTAATTAAAAAGATTCTTTTATGTTATGATATATATTCAAGAATAATTTTTTTTAATTGTGATACGCTTATGTATATTTTTTATATAATTCTATAAAAGTGAAGAAAGATTTTAGGATCAGTAACTATATACTGCAATTTTCTTTTATATAATTTTTATATATACATATGCATATAGATTATGAAATGGGATATCCAATCAAAACTTGTGTATAGAATAAAATTTTAATTTTATACTAGTAATATTAATACTAGTAATATTGAAAAAGATCAATATAAAACTATTTTTAAATATTTTATAGGTGAAGAATGGGAAATAATAAGAGGTACATGGTTTTATGATGGAAGTTGGATACCTCTAGAATTAGAATACTCTGAAGTAATTGAAAAAGCTCATTTACAAATGTTTCAAAGACAAACTCTCACACAGTCAAGTTCAACACCAGACTTTAGTACACCATCACATTCATATGAAGGTAAATTTTGCATTTCACATATAAGATATTCATTTATAGGCATTAATAAATTATTAAACCTGCTCTTAAATTATAGTACTTCATACAGAACACTTCACTCAATATCACATCGATTGGCATGCAATAAACGATGTGGTTCTTTACAGCGAGTATACCCCAAGTAAATTGATGCGTAGCGTAACATCAAAATTTGGCTTTACTAAAAGTTAGTATAATTCAATTTTCATTTGTATTGTAAAATTGTTCAATTTTCCTTGTAATCGATATGAAATATTTTAATAAAATTGCTATTTATTAAAAACGTTTACAATTAACTTATTTAATAACATAATCAATGTATTTCTTATAGCAACGGGTTATAGACTTGTAAGAGGATATAAACAATCAGCTAAAATGGATGATAAACCACAAGACATTGATCATTTAGTTTTTATAGTTCATGGAATTGGTCATAAAAGTGATACTGGCAAAATTATTCGTAATACTGCAATGTACGTTTTTGTCATGTTCTTGCTTATAAGATTATTATATAAGATTATTAATATAGGTACTATCATATAAAAAATCTATTTGAGCTACTTTTTAATCTATTAATTTTTTTAAACAATTTTCTATATTTATATTTTTGTTTACATATATTTAGTTGTACAGCCAAATGTCAATAAGAAATTAATTAATAATACTAAATTTATGTTATGATTTCTTATATTTGTTTAAATAAAACTAAATTTTATTATCAGAATAATAATATCAGAATAATAAAAAATTTCTATACTTATTAATTATATTTAAATTTTAATAATTTATATTTTAAACTTACTTTTTATTAAATGCAGGTTTAGAGAATGTGTGGAAAGAATGAAACAGAAATATTTTCCAAATTCTATTCATAGAGTTGAATTTTTTCCTGTAGAATGGAGATCTTCCCTGAAACTTGATGGAGGTAACATTTGAATGTAATGAATATAAAAGTAAAATAGATACTAATTTCATACTTTTATTTTAGATATAGTTGAAGCTATAACTCCATATAGTGTGTTAAGAATTCGAAATCTGCTTAATACTTCTGCGATGGATATATTATACTATACAAGTCCTTTATATGGAGGGGAAGTGCAAGCTGGTCTTCAAAAAGAATTAAACAGATTATATTTCAAATTTACTAGCCGACATCCAGGATGGCAAGGAAAAGTTTCAGTTTTAGCACATTCCTTAGGATGTGTTATTGTATATGATATTGTCACAGGATGGGTGGGATTTGAAACGCGACCTCCTGGCTCACCTCAACGTTCATCAGAGGGTTTACAGTTTCCTGTAAGTGTGTTAAAGATTCTGTGATATTTTGGACACTTTAATACAGTACAAATTAAAAAAATAGATTTAAATTACACAGCAGTTTTAATCTAAATTTAATTTTAACAACGTGATAAGCAATATATTTGAATTAAATATATAGTTTTTAACCATTGACATAAATCAAACTAATAAACTATAATTAAATTGATGAACAATGTACATAAGTTTATAAAAATATATCGTATATAATTACTTTTTCTGTTTACAGATTGAAAATTTATTTTGCTTGGGTTCTCCACTATCTGTATTTTTAGCTTTACGTACACGTACACCGTCCAATCGATCAGACTTAATGCCAGAATATTTATGTAAAAGGTTTTATAATATATTTCATTGGTCAGATCCAGTTGCATATCGAATGGAACCTTTATTAGAAAGAGGATATAGTAAAGTAGAGCCAGTTCTTATCCCAACACATGGTGGAGTGGACAGTCAACAAGTTGAACAACCACCACCACCATCGATTAATAACGGTGATCAAATTAATCCACAATCAGGTATGTGTATATTAAATTTAACTTATTTATATAATATACTCCTTATAAAACTACTCTCGATACCCTAATAAAATTTCCATTAATTAAAATTTCGATTAAATTTTTAAATCTTAAGTTTATTACATATGTGGCACAGCATGAGTATCTAATTTAGGCTTTGTATAGATCACAATAACAAAAATTTTATGTTTCGATTGATTATTTGCTATTAAATAAAATAACACAAGAGCTATTTTCTCCAGAGTCTACTTTTAAGGTACTAATGTGTATAAAATTTATTGTTTATCAAAAATAATAATATATTTCATTATTTATTCAAAAAGTAATATACAATTGAATATTTAAAAAAAATTTTGAATCTAATGCTTAAATTAAATATTATAGTTTTAATTGCAATTATTGCTCGAATAAATACTTTCCAAAATTCATAATAAAAGGAACAACATAAACTATTATATAATACAGTTTTATCCATTATTTTAGATAATGATGATAAAGATGATACAAGTCCAGTTGATACATCAAACAGGAATGCAGAAAGAGGTTGGAGTTTATGGGGTTTGGTAAGAAGTGGATGGAATGTTAAAGAAGGAACTTCTACACCTGATAACCCACCGATTCAACCTGACCAAGGTAATGCATTTTTTATATTATAAATTTATATACAAATACTAGCTAAATTATAATAACATTATTCATTGTATTGTGTAATCAATGTATGTATCCATATGTAATATATACTCTTACAGTAATAATCAATATAAGTTTGTTTATTTTTCAGAATTAGCTCAACGCTTAGATTATGTGCTGCAAGCTGTTCGAATAATAGGTCCTGATTATTTGTATAGTGTAAGAGCTCATACTGCATATTGGAATAATTGGGATGTGGCTTATTTTGTATTAACGAGAATTTTTCCAACATTGGAAACGTGATGTTGGCATTTACTTTTCAATAGAAAATCATATCAAGATATACCGGAAATACCTAGTCTAACAAGGGCCTTATAGGCCTGAGTTTATAAACAGGCCTGCCACCAAAACTAATCTGTGATAACGGAAAAACGATACAATAATATGACAAATTCTTTGATAGACAAGTTGTTTTGTATGGTTTTCATAAAAAAGTGATTAAAATTAAACAATAAGAAGTTTTGCCATTTATGGTTTTTATATTAAAAGTTTATTTTTACTAGAAAAATTTGACAAATACTATTGATTTAATTCACCTGGCAGTTGCCTTTCACCGATTTTACAGTAAAAATTCATAATTGCTAATTATATATTGATTGTATAATAATTGATCTAAATTACTGAAAAACTGTATATATTTAATGGTTAACTAATCTTTAAATTTTTCACAGGTGCTTTATTTTATTAAATTTAGGTAATAAAATCTTTGTTAAAGATATTTAGATTAATTTTTAATCAATGGATGTATCAATGAAATTATAATTATCAATGACTGATAGCTTTATTGTAGTATCAGTTTTATATTGTAATATCTAAATTATTATTATGCATAAATGAAACATAAGATTCTTGTTAAATACATAATGTTAAAACATATAGCAAGAAATTTACATTAATATAGTGCAATTATACAACATAAAATTACTTCTCTTTCCTATCTTAAAATTGTTATTTATACAAAGTTGTTGAACACCAAATTATTAATATTTTGACAATATTTGATACTTTTCTGAATGAATGAATCACTGACAATTTTATCATATAAGTGATATAATCTGTGATGCAATGAATGTCATAGGATTATGATATAGAATTATGACGTTGATATTGTAGTAAAAAGAAAGAAAAAGAAATACACGAATTAAATATAAATTTTTGTTGATATTAAAATATGTATTTATCAATTAATATTTATCCTTATTCATGCCTTATAATAATTAAATAATTGTTGAAAAAACAAAATTTTATTCTACTTGTTTCATTCATATATAAGCATTAAAAGTATTATTATAAAAAAAATTTATTCTTGTAGATATGAATTCAAAATTTGTATAAAAAATTAATAATGCAATTACAATTACTTAATAATAAAATTAAAATTCATATTTTGAAGTGAGTAAAAGTGTTAATAAAACAAAGTTTGACAATCCAATCTATCAATAATTAATATAATTTATTTCAAATATGAAAAATAAATTTCAATTATTTTTATTAAAAAAGGTTGTACTACTATTTATTCTACATTTTTTTCGTATTATACATAAAATATTTTTTTTTAAATCACAAGATTTAATTAATTTTTTGAAAATTAATCATTACTATTGAATATAGTACATTCCTTTGATTATACTTTTTATTTTATTTTGTCATTACAAATTCAAGAATTTATTTAAGACAAAATGAAACAATTTAAATATGTAGGATGATCGATACATTAAGAATTCTTTCATAAAAAGAGAGTATTTCTTTCTTTACAGCTCTGAAGAATAGTATTGAAGAATATATCTTAAATTGAATTCAAAATTATCTCTTTCACGATTACAATCAATATATTTATCTTTGATATAAGATATTTAGGGATACGTATTAACAATTTATTCGTGTAAATTGCATACTTTTTAAATCGTATAACTTTTATTTTAACTCATAATCATTTGAGTATTTAAATATTATTAATATTTAATAAAAAGTTTTCGATTTAGTCATGGAGAATTTTACTAATTACTTTGAAACTTACATATGTTTAAATTTATTTATAATCATATGTATTTTGAAAATATAGAACGGATATAATTTATCAAAATGATAAAATTCAATAACCTGTTATCTAAAGCTACGGCTTACATGTTGCATGGTCAGATAATTTTCGATTGGTTTCTTTGTTGCATAACTATCGGTGACACTGAAGGTTATTTTGACAATACAATTATTTCATCACTAAACACTTGGTATGATTTATAATTATCGAATAACTTCAATTTTACATAATTATTTTTAATAAGTATAATTCATGTTGAAATTAATATTGTATAATCAATTAATACTATTATGACTAATGATAATACGAATTAAACGTCAAATAATATAAAATATTCAATAAATAGTATGAATAATAAATAATATAAAATTTGTGTATATTTAATCTATTTAAATGTATAAAAATTATTAATTAAAAATTGTAAACATATGGCGAAAATTTTATGTAATAGTTGATTGACATTTGAAAATTGATGTACAATTTTCATTGAATAATTATTATATTCTTTCGTAAAACATACATAAGATTGTTTAAATTATATATAGTAGTGTGATAATGATATTCCGCGTTTTAATAACAAGGCCATCGTCGTTAATAACCAAGGCTATCGTCGAATGTAATAAATACTTTCTATCGTTCTGTTATCTAAATTTATTATAAATACGTTAAAACTGTCAATTAAATATACTAAATCGTTTTTGAATCTTAAATTATTAATTATATTTTTACTGAGTCCAACTCTTATAATATAAAATGTAGAGACATAAAAAATTTGAAAATATTTACAAATGATCAAAGTTGTATTATTTTTATTATAATAACACTGCTAGAAACTGAAAGATCAGTATATTCAAAATTTAATATCACATTATTTCTTTACCTTTATTAATTAACACGCTCAACATATTTTTCCCCCTCTATTGATTTTAATTATAATAAATACAAAATATAAAACAGTAAAGCTTTTGATGAAAACTAATATAAATTTGTTTTGAATTTATTAACATTTTTAATTTAAATATTTTTATATTTTTTGTTTATAAAAAATGTATATATATATATATAATAATATAAATATCTTAAATGTGCATACTTTTATAATTCTTACAACATTATTCAGTTTTTCATTTATCATAGAAATCTTTTTAAATATCATTTCTAATGTAAAAACTTGATAATTTTATCATTTATACATTTTGATATGACCTAGATCGAATATACATAGAAATTTCTTTATAAATCAGTTAACATACTATTTAAATTTGGTGTTACTTTTTCATATAAGTATTGATAAAAATTACAAATAATATTTGTAAACTCTTAATTAACGAATGATATCTACGAATTATTTTCCATTATCCATCTCTTTCATTATCTCTTCAATAATGTTTGGAGAATTATTAAACAAAATTTTAAATTATACATTATAAGTATAATAAATGAATTTTCATGTCTTCATCATTTACAGGAATATTAATTCTACAGTTTTCATTGATTTTGATCGAACATTTATTATAAATATCGATCATTTTAATTATCACATTATAATTTAAATATTTTCTTAAATCAGTTTAGAATATATGATCACCTGATTACTTATTTTGATAATTATCAGATACTACAAACGCATACGTATCTAAAATTTGGATTCCTTCGTTGCTAAGTGAAATGCCATTGCATAGCTATAAATGTACTGATTTATTATGATCAAGAATGTTATGTAGCATAAATTTTAAAATGCTTTCGTAAACTTTATTGGTCTCTAGCATATGTAGCAAACAACAACCATAGAATAACATAACAGAATATTTTTCTGATACGAGCATATACTTTAGGTATAACGAGTTCCATTCTAAGCGCTTAGAATATATATATAACTTTGGTATTACTTACTACTTGTTTGTAAACTAAATTATGACAGTCAATTTGTATTATGACGTAAATTTTCTGAGAGTTGACGGATAGTTGAACTGGTTTTACTGCAGTAAGCTACGGGGAATTCGGGCACCTCATTCTTTGTTGGAAGTTTGGTGGAAGAAGTTGTATTGTCTTCTATTTACGTCTTTTTATTATAGTTGGAAATTAATAAATAATCATTTCTGGTAAATATCGTTTAATATAATACATATTTTTATAAATAAAAACAAAACTTTTTTATAATATTTTTACAATGTTTTGCGATTTCCGAATTTACACTGTTTTTCCATGTATTCCAACAAAGGGAGGCTTGAAAAAGATATTTCATTGTTATTTACATATTTTATATAAATGGTGTACTCATAATGTTCTATGAAATAAAATTGAAGAGCTTTGAATAAAAATTGAAAATCTGCTTGCTTATAATATTGATTAGAATAGAATATTAGAATTTTCAGTTGCAACCGACGGCCATTATACCATGGCAATGTAACATAATTCGTTATACCAATACAGTCGTGGTAAACTTCAGCCATCTTGAATGATGCCTTTTGTCATTATAACAAAATAGAATCAATTTTCATATTTCGGAAATTTCGTCAAAATTTTTGTTTCATATTACTTTTAAACAAACTTCAAATCTAACAAATATTAATCTAGAAAAACTATACTTTAAAATTTAAAGTACGGTTGAGAAAACAAGTGGAGTATTTATTAAAAACTACAAACATAAATAGGACATCAAAAAAAGAAATATTCCTACGTGTAACTGAACAATTAACATTACCATTATCTGTGTCAATAAATCAATTATAAAAATAAGAAATTAAAATAAAATTTATTTTCAATGTATTGAATATGAAAAGATTAAGATTATAATACAATTTTACTGTTAAAATATTGTTTAAAATATTTAATAACATATTTTTCTCTTGAATAGTTTCAAGATGCAGATTTTCGTTAAAACCTTGACTGGTAAAACTATTACTCTTGAGGTAGAGGCATCAGACACCATTGAGAATGTTAAAGCCAAAATCCAGGATAAAGAAGGAATTCCCCCAGATCAGCAACGTCTAATCTTTGCTGGTAAACAATTAGAAGATGGTAGAACACTTTCAGATTACAATATTCAAAAGGAATCAACATTGCATCTTGTTCTTCGCCTTCGTGGTGGAATGCAAATTTTTGTTAAAACCTTAACTGGCAAAACCATCACGTTGGAAGTTGAAGCTTCTGATACTATTGAAAATGTTAAAGCGAAGATCCAAGACAAAGAAGGAATTCCACCAGATCAACAACGTCTCATTTTTGCCGGTAAACAATTGGAAGATGGAAGAACAAACAAAACTTTTTTATAATATTTTTACAATGTTTTGCGATTTCCGAATTTACACTGTTTTTCCATGTATTCCAACAAAGGGAGGCTTGAAAAAGATATTTCATTGTTATTTACATATTTTATATAAATGGTGTACTCATAATGTTCTATGAAATAAAATTGAAGAGCTTTGAATAAAAATTGAAAATCTGCTTGCTTATAATATTGATTAGAATAGAATATTAGAATTTTCAGTTGCAACCGACGGCCATTATACCATGGCAATGTAACATAATTCGTTATACCAATACAGTCGTGGTAAACTTCAGCCATCTTGAATGATGCCTTTTGTCATTATAACAAAATAGAATCAATTTTCATATTTCGGAAATTTCGTCAAAATTTTTGTTTCATATTACTTTTAAACAAACTTCAAATCTAACAAATATTAATCTAGAAAAACTATACTTTAAAATTTAAAGTACGGTTGAGAAAACAAGTGGAGTATTTATTAAAAACTACAAACATAAATAGGACATCAAAAAAAGAAATATTCCTACGTGTAACTGAACAATTAACATTACCATTATCTGTGTCAATAAATCAATTATAAAAATAAGAAATTAAAATAAAATTTATTTTCAATGTATTGAATATGAAAAGATTAAGATTATAATACAATTTTACTGTTAAAATATTGTTTAAAATATTTAATAACATATTTTTCTCTTGAATAGTTTCAAGATGCAGATTTTCGTTAAAACCTTGACTGGTAAAACTATTACTCTTGAGGTAGAGGCATCAGACACCATTGAGAATGTTAAAGCCAAAATCCAGGATAAAGAAGGAATTCCCCCAGATCAGCAACGTCTAATCTTTGCTGGTAAACAATTAGAAGATGGTAGAACACTTTCAGATTACAATATTCAAAAGGAATCAACATTGCATCTTGTTCTTCGCCTTCGTGGTGGAATGCAAATTTTTGTCAAAACATTGACAGGTAAAACTATTACACTGGAAGTTGAAGCTTCCGATACTATTGAAAATGTGAAAGCTAAAATTCAAGATAAAGAAGGAATTCCACCAGATCAGCAACGTCTCATTTTTGCCGGTAAACAATTGGAAGATGGAAGAACATTATCCGACTATAACATCCAAAAAGAATCAACGCTCCATCTTGTTCTTCGCCTTCGTGGTGGAATTTAAATTTTTATTAATACCATCAGTTTAAAGATCATATATATTGTAATCAAGATAGAAATAAAACAAAACACTTTAACATTTGAATAGTAATATTTTTCTGGAAACTTGAAAGAAACAATGCATTTTCCTGTAATGGATATAAACTGATATTGAATAATTATTTCATAATTGCTGATAAACAACTAATGGATAGAAAACTAAAGGATAGAACTAATTCAGATACAATACCTACTAAACTATCTGCTCTAATTGTTATCTAGAATAACTTAAGTTCAACTATTCATCACTATTAGTAAAGTGAAAGTAATAATATCCTAAATAATTGTTTTCTTAGTTTCTTTTATGCCTCATACTTTTCTTAAACTGATTTGAAATGAAAAATGTTTCTCAATATCTTGTTAACATTTGCAATTTATTTTCTAAAGTTACATAGAAATGGCTTTTAAGACTTAAAATAGATGTAAACTGTAATCATAAATAAATAAATGTTGTGAATCATATTTTAATTTTTCTTTATTTACAAGCAAATCAATAACAATTAAATATTAAATAATTATTCAGTTTTTCATTTGATCTATAGGTCCTACAATAAAATTAGGAAAATAAATTGACAATATAATTCATTATTTCTAAGATATTTAAGTTGCACTTACCAACAAAACTTAATAGAACAGGTAAAAAAATAAGTCCATGAGCTGCACCAAATAAAACTATTCCTAAATACATTCTAAAATATAAAACAGTAAATATTCGAGTTTTTGCAAAACCAAGTACAGCAATTCCAACAAACTTTGTCAGCGTTATACCGGAAAAAATCTAAAAATTTAGTGAAATCAAGATATTAACGGCACAAATATATATATATATATATATATATAAATAACAGATATAGCAGATACTTACCGAACTTCCAATTCGTAATAAGGATTCTGTAGCTTTCTCTTCTCTAGTATTTTTATTTGATATTAAATAAGCATGTACTATGTGACTACAAAACTCTACTGCAATTCCGGTAGCCTTGAAATAAAAAGAATTAAAACTTATTTTTGCTTATTTCTGATAATATTGGTACCAAATGTCTTGTAACTTCTCACCATAACCAAATTTACTAATGTAACTCCATTTAATGAAATATTCCACCATACCATTAAACCACCTAAATTAACAACAATCATAGTAACTGTTATCAATACAATTATGGCAGAAAAAATTGAATAACCAGTTAGCAAGAATGTCACAATAAAAATAGCCATAAGGGAAAAAGCCAAGGATACTATAGTGTTTAATGTGATTGTTAAATACTGCTCGTAAAATACGTAAAAGATGCTGAAAGAAAAGTTGTTTTATTTCAATAATTTCTATTTCTTTACACGGTAAATATGTCTAGTCAAGATTTTTTAATTATTTAATACATATTAATACTTTAAAATTAAAAACTGTACATGATTGTTTTTTAGAGAAAATATTAATTTTTTATAAGTCAAATACCTATGCATACATGCCAATATTGGAAACAAATTTATATAAAGAATTATAAATTTCGCAGACACGCTATTTAAATATATTCAATTCAAAAAGATACATGAGTTGAATAATTGCTTTTTATGTTCATAAGCAGTTTTTAATATTATGGTACTTATTAATTAAATATAAATTTGTTCACTTATGGTTAATTATAATTATTAAATATAACAAGAAATTAGAGTAAATGAATTGTGCTGTTTATAAATATTTACCTATACGGAAATACTGTAATTTTATTACTTGTCAAATTCGCATTGTTTATCATATTCGTGATACTTGACGCAATTAGTCTTGCACTTCGCAAGGCTTCGTACCAGTCAGATGATTTTTTTAATGGTGTATGATATGTCATAAAATATGAATCTCCAACATCTGCCATTCCATAGTTATCGTAATAATAATTAATACCCTAGAATGTTTAATACAATACTTTAATTATACATGATTTAATTCAAATCTAATTATGTGAAAATCAGGAATTACTATATTTAAAAAGGAAAAATTCATTTTTATCAATAATATTTTTATAAGTGTTCTACTACATGTCAGAGTTTATGATTAATATAAATAATTTATTATATAATTAAATTTTTTAAATTTGTAATATTATCTTGCTAATTAATTTAATTTATTAATTTTATCGAACAATTCAATGAAATGATTTTAAAACTACTTTTGAATAGAAACTGTTATGGCATGCCATACATAGAAATATTATGATATCAACTCAAGATAAAAAAGTATATTGCATAAGCAAATAAACTAAAAATATAAATCTTTTTCAATTAATTAATTAATTATTAACTTTAGAATAGTATTATTACATAAATAAATAAGATTAATGAAATATTAATGTAAAATATAAGCTGTATTCTGTAAAATAAATTAATTAAATGAGCTATAAAATATAAGAAAAATTAAAACATTAGTGCAGATTTAAGAGCAAATTTAATACAGAAAGCAATTCGAAACTATAAAATTCAATTGCTAGTATATTTCAAATTATCTTGTAAATTATCATTAAAAATACTTACATCTAAATAAGATGCACGTCCTGCTTTAGCACAATTTTCATCTGGTACGTCTGTTATAAAGTATGTCAAATATTTCCTGAAGCTATTAGAATCTGGACGTAAGTTATATTTCTCATCGTGTAGAATATTGCACGATTCGCACATATCCGATTCTAAATAATATGAATTATTGAAATTAATTTATTAATCGAATATTATATACTTAAAATATTTTACGTTAATAGATTCTGGATAATTTTTATAAATGAATCAAAATATTATGAAAATAATTATGAATATTATAATTGAATTGGCTAATAGTAGTTACCTTCATTATGAGGACAAAATGAATTATTATTTAAAAAGTACTTGCAACAACCGTGGATAGTGGACCAATCATAATAATCATCAAGCCACGAAGATGCAGGTTTGGATATGTAAGTTCTGTAAATGAACATCAATATTTATTGAAAATATTAAAAATCAATATCTAATAGCTAGTTACGTACTCATTGGATCGATTTGCTGCTGAGAATATTTGCATGTAAAGAGAATCATCGTTGCAACCTGAGGCACCGCTAATTGCATTTTGTACATCATAGTTACTATAATTTAACCCTTTCGTAACTACAAAATACATTGGTGGTCCCATTGACAATAAATCTTGCATATACTATAAAAATCACAATATATAATAGTAGAATTAAATTTTTCTTTAAATTTTTTACTTCGAATTATCTTAAAACCGTTTCATATTATATGTAGAAATATAATCTCTATTATTTCATTAATTAGATATCGTAAATATTTTCTAGATAATTACTTTATGTACTAATTACTATTATGTAGTTAGAACTATATGAAATAAAATGTTCGAATCTTTAAATGTAAAACTATAAATAACGAAAAAAAAAAAATAATTTTCAAAGACTATTTTCATAAATTATATTTACATTACAATAAACAAAAAAAATAATTAAAAATGAAATTTGTAACAAATTGAATACTTTTTTTTTTTTTTTAATTTCAACATAAATGAATATTTTCAATTATAATACGAAGTTTAATTATTCTTACATAATATAAGTAATTTATGCTAATCAAATAATGAAATTCAGTATTACCTGAAAGTATTTATAAACATATGAATCAACTGGCATAGAGAGTTGTTGATCAAGTCCGATTTCAATATTAGGAATAATAATTGCACTCGTAGTCAAACCAACAATAAAAATAACGAGAATAAAAATACGTATTGGCTTAACCATTATGACTGGCGTGTAAATTCTCTCAAAAAATAAGTTTACTAAGCCGACATTAGAACTTTTTTCTGGATGTTTTTTTAAAGAAATGCAGCAAAAACAGTCTAAATGATTCTTCTAAAAATAAAGATACGCAAGAATAAATTAATCTAAAATTAAATATTTGATTAATAAAAGTAATATTTTCATGAATGAAAAATTAATAATACCTCTTGACGTCTAGCATCCAAAGATAATAGGCTCACAAAAACAGATATTTGAAGAATAAAATTTATAAAAATAGACAATGTAGCAAATTTGGCAAAAGTATTCACAGCTGGCATTTCAGATACGGATCCTTTTAAAAAATAAAAAATATTAATACATCCTATCGAATTGTTCTTTTCAAATGTAAAAATACCTATGAAAAAACAACAGCATTCAGATGCACTTGTAAGCAATATTGAAGGTCCGACTACACCCACAATTCTTCCTATATGAGCTGGTATAGATTCGTCTGGTTTACGAGGAGTTTTCATATGCTCTCTAACTAAAATGAAGATATTGTCAACACCTACAGCTAATACTAAGAATGGAATGACCTAATTAAAAAAATAAAAAATATATTTATTTAATTGTATACAAAACAAATATTTATTAAAACATGTATTATGTTGCGTTTATAGAATTTAATAATATGAAACAAAATGTTGTAGTTTAATTATCTGATAACATTTGAATGAATTTATTAGTCAAATAAATAAGAGAATAATATCTTGTTATATTACAATGCAATAAAATATACCATAAAGTTATTTTTAAAGTTAATGTTTTTCGTAAATTCAATAATATAATAAAAGTCTTATTTAACTCTTTATTTGCTTCAATTAACTTATGAGGCAAACTTACTTCCACTGTAAGAAGTGAAGTTGGTACACCAATATAACCAAATACTCCTACAGCACAACTAACTGATAAAAGTACTATAAGTATTCCGCCTATACTTAAAGCAATTCTACTAGTAATCTATGAAATAAAATATATTCATGCGTTATTTTATATAAATAAATAGAATAGATAACAATAAAAACACCTTTGAATATCACGCATTTACTTACAAAACAATGATAGGATAATTTATATTCTCCCAAAGCCATTGAAATATAAATAAACATAAGCAAATAACTCAAAATCATTGTCACTGCTTCAGCCTTTGATGTTCGCTCCAGTTCATCTTCAATTGATCTTTCCGTTGAATAAGCAACGTCAATAAAATCTGGACGATCATATTTATCCCAATTTTTCATAAAATCAATAAATCTAACAAAAATAATTTATTTGAAAATAATTTTATTTGAAAAAAAATCATTTAATTATGAGTTTTAGATTTATTATTATTTTACACCTTTGTTCCCATTTTAATGCGAGATTTAATGTTTCTGTATCATGTGGAAATTTAACTAAAAACGTTATAACTAATCCTGTTGATTTTATGTAATCGTTAGCATTATAATCAGATTTGCCGTCTTTCAAAAATCCACCCAATGATATGGCTGGAATAATTGGACCTTTATAAGGCGCCAGACAATTTATATTAAAAGGATTTCTAAAAACAATAATTATTAAGCATTAATGCGAAAGTACATACATTATTCATACACTTAATGAAATAAGAATATATCAATTTTAAAATTAAACTACTAATTTTTAGATGCATATATTTAATGTGTACATACTCTAAACATTCGTATATTTTTTGTAAATAATTGGAATTGCATTCTTCAATATTATTTTTAAAATAACCCCATATACTTTGTATTGTGCAATATGATAGAGTCATTGGACCAGAAAAATCATTTTTTACCGGAGCATAGCAAATTTTTTCTAGACCTTCATCCTCGTCTTGTCCAAGCTTAAATACTTCTCTTAATTATTTATAAATCTTACAAGAATAAAAATATATAAACATAAATTTTCTGTTACCTTCATTACTTTTTCTTGTAAATCTAATACGTGTAATAAAAAGTTCTTTTGGAAAATAGGACCGAATTCTAGTTCTTCATTTGAAATGTTGTAATAGAACTAAAATACGTTTAAGAAAATATATTTGTTATTTCAAATAACTAGTCGTTAGAAAATTATATAATTTAATCAATCATAAATTAAACAATATGTATTATTACTATATAGTTATTAACTGTACGTATTACAATAGTAAAAGTAAAAAATTAATTCCATATCTATATAAATTCATACGCACACATGCACATGCACATTTATTTATGGAAAGAGATACAATTTTCCTTATCTTAATTCCCAGTACAGATATGTGTACTTTTAAAAATTTTAATACTTATAATTTTATGTAGATTTATATATTCTCTTTTTATAATTATGCTGACTTAATCACAAATACCTTTTCAAGATTCACTGATTTGATAAAAATCTGCTCAGTACGATAAAAAGGTTGGAAATGTTTATCGAAAAAATCTTTTTCTAATCGTGCACGGCTATTTGGTGCAGACCAAATTTCTATAGGATTTGATGTAATAGTTAATCTTGAAACTCCTAAACTTAGTAAAATAGCAATGTTTCCAATAATAGCTAGTGAACTTATAGGGTATTGAGCAAAAAATGTTCCAATAAAAATAAAAATAGATTGTAGTGCTGAACGAAATTGTTCACCGTAAGTTTTCTGTTTGTTCAATTTTCCAAGATTTGAGTCACTATCAGTAAATGATATTTCTAAATCATAGTCTGAAATATTCCAAAATAAATTATCAATTACAATAAATAAAATCAATAATTGTTATATTTGCAGATTCACAGATAATCAAAGAATTTAATACTACAAAGAAAGCAGATTTAATCTGGAATGCATTCGTGTACAAATTCAAAGAATCATGAAAATTAATTAAATTACATTCAATATTTTATTTTAAATATTTTAATGATTATATTAAAATAACGAATTAAATTAAAAAATTAACTTACTATTTGCTTTTCTTTTAAAACCATAAAGGTAAAAACCAATTGTAAATAATGTGCTAATACCAATAATCGTTAAACCTGCTACAATTCCATATATATTCCAGGAATCAATGGGAGCTTTATTATAAATAGGTATATTATTTACTTTGCACGCTAATCTACAGTCAACGCAACTACATGCTAAAGTTGAATTCTGTAAAAACATAATAATTAAAATTTATTGATTATTTCAATTTGGAAATATATTTCACTGGCTTACTTAAATTTATTAATATTTATACAAATACGTTTCCCTCATTATATAAGTATAATAAAGTTTGATATAATTATTTATATGAATTACTATATAATATCAACTTACATCATATCGCTCGCTGCAATTTTTAGTTTTGGGATTCAGGGAATGAGTAATAAATTTTGATTGTAATTCGCTAGCATTAAAAACGTAGTCAATAAAAAATGGGACAAAACTATTGATATTACTATTACCCATATAATCGAACCAGCTAAATGATGAAAATTAAAATCTTATCAGATAAAAAATACTTCAGAATAAAATATTGATATAATTTTTAAAAAAGTAATACCGTTTCGGCGTGCAATCCTTAGCGCCGTTACATCCAAAATCCATAGCTAACATTCCACTCGATGGATTCACAACGTCCTTACAGGAATCGTAAGTTGAATTTGCATATTCTTCTGATAAAAATATCTACAAATAAAAAAGATCTTCAGTGAATAGATTGAATTTAGACGACATTTGTATAAGAATAGACTATTATTATTAATTGAAAGTAATGAACGTTTAAAACTTCATTGAAATATTTGCATAATAATAACAAAATACTTTAAAATACTACCAAATGATTCATTATGATTTACTAATCTATTCTTAATAATGATTAATAGAAATAAGATTATACTATAAACTTAATAATGAAAATCCACCGTAAATAATAACCTCGAGTGCTTCAATATATGCGTCACCGTTTTTATTGACTTTAATTTCAGTTGCATTCATAAATCTGCTTTGATCGGGACTGCAAGTAAAATCGCAAATAGATTGAAAAAGATTTCTTAAACAAATGGCACATCTACCGAAAATTTGTTCTGCCATTTCCATACTCGAATCCATCGTTCTTATCTGTTGACTATCACAACAAGTCTTTGGTTGATCTAAAAAAATATATATTTATTTTTAAATAATAATTTTCATTCATATTTCTAAGTAAAAATATTAAAAATCATTGTAACAAATTTTTAAAATAATATATGCATATGCGGTCTTAAACTATTATGTGGTAAAAATTTAAAAAGTTATAATTATTTTTTATTTAATTTTTCTTTAATAAATTATTAATTTAGTTATAATTTAGTTATAAGTATATTTATAGTAACTATATTTATACATTAAAAATCAAATTATAAATTATAAATTATAAAAATAAGAAATTCATAAAGCAAATTATAAATTGTCGAACATTTGACGAACTAACTTTTATTTTAGTTACTTTAATAATGATTAAAAATAAAGTATTGAACATATTTTATTATTCATATAATATTAAACAAAGGATATAAAATACACATTATATAAATATAAAAAATATCGCCGGATAACTTTTAAACTCGAATATGTAGTATTTGAATTAAAGGACTAGTTCACTTAAATAATAAAATTAATATCAATTTCATTAAATAACATAGTAAAGTATATATAACATAGTAAATAGTAATTAAAGGGATCTAAATTATACTACATAGTTGTAATCCAATCCAAATTTATCAATCTACACAAATACTTTTGTTTGCTTTGATAAAGTATTATGATTAATAGTTTTATTTTATATATATATATATTCAACAACAAAAAATATATGTATATATATATATATATATATATTAAAAGATACACACACACACACACACACATATATATATATATATATATATATATATAATATCATATAAAAACATATATTAATAAATCAATAATACATTGTAATAATTAAGCTTTGATAATTTATGTATTCATATATAATGAATTATTAAATTATTTTATATGCTTCAATTGAAATTTATATTTTACAAAAAAGTTATATTACTTTAAAGATTAATATTTATAAAAAAAAAACTAAATATTGATATATTATCAATTATAGTTTTTTATTGTTATAATAAATTGATTAAATTAAAGATTTAATCTTCAATAGTTAAAGAGAATTATATTTAGAAATATAATATTTTTTTAAATTTTCATTATAATTTGTACAAAATTTATTTTACTTGTATCTTCGAATAAATGTGGACATCTTTTTACAAGAATTTTTTCAGCATCTTCATCATTAATTAATTGTGCAGTAGTATTCGATAGACAATTACGTACTTTATTATCTTCGTTATAACCACATTCTTTGTACCAAACACAAGTATAATCCTCACTTTGTATTAACTGAACATAAAATATAGTAACATACACTAGCTTAATGTAAATCTGTTTCATTTTATAAGTAAAATAATAGATAATGTTTCAGTAAAAACAATATATTTAATAATGAATATCATTCAAAAGAATTTATGTAATTAATGTAAAAGAATTAATGTAAAAGAATTTAAATAATTATGTTGTGTAGAAATTTAAATAAATATTTAACATTTATTTAAAATTTTTAGTATTCTGTTGTGAAACACGGCGACACGGCTATATGTAACTGATCGATTCAGTAAAATTCAATATCTTCAAGAAGTTTTCTTATCATTAAGGTGTGGAAGCTTATTATCTTTTGGATGGTACCTTACGATATATTTCTTTAGAATTTCTATTATTTTATTATATAATCGGTCTTATGTGGTCTATTAAATTTGTACGATTTGTCATTGCAACCATATATCATACAGATTAATTTAAGAAATATTTTTAGTTTATTTTAACAGATATTACCTTACTTAATATTTATCAGCGTATTTATAGTGTATTTATCAACAAATTATAATTAATTATCCCGAAAATAAATAAAAATTATTATCAACCTGTATTTACTTGTAAAAGTGGTATAATTTCATAAATACTTTATGATTTATTTAATCAATACGTTAAATTATGTACCGTAATATTTTAAATAAGATATTACCAGTATTATGAATATGTAAAAATAATAATACTTTTTACAAATGTTTATTTAATTTTCTTTTTAATTACCGCTTCAAAATTTCCAATCATGTTTAAATTTATTATAGCGACTATCTTTTCAAATTAGGTTTATCTTTGCTATTAGAATTTCGTAAACTTTTCAAAACCAAAAATTATATATCCACCGGAGTATTTAATATGAAATCATGTAATTACTATTAAATAAAATTAAGTATTTAACCTCCAAAAATCTGTTACTGAAAATGAATGTATGCGTTAGATATTTTTGTTATTAGTAGTCTACACTCTAGTAACTTCGAATTTTTCTTTTAGAATTTCTATTTTATTTACTTTACCACAGAGATTAAAGAAAGAATAGAGAATATATTAATATGCGTTTATCTGATTGTTTTAAACTTTTAAATGTTACTATTCACAGTAAATATTTATACCAGTTTATTTACATTTTATTTTACCATAATATTTACTTTACCAGGAAATATTTATAGTTTTAAAAAATTCTAGTTTATAATTAAGATATTTTGTTATTAAATTATTTTTATTCGTTTTGTTGATTTACTGTAAATATGAAACATAATATTCAATTTTTATCCATGTAATTTTTTAATGTGTTGATTCTCATTGTAATATAGATGAATTAACTATTCAATAACATCATAATTAATATCAAAATATAATTATTTTATGTAGTCATAAATTTCTATAAAAAGTTTAAATTGAAGGAAATTTATTTATAATTTCATTGTATAATTTATTTTATCTTTCAAGTTCATAAACTTATTAACTTCAATAGCTTATTAACTACTAGCTAATAATGTGCACAATCTCACACATTCATTCATGTTAATTAATTATAACAGAATAGCCCAGCTACTTGATATATATGAAACCAAAATCTTTAATACAGGTAATTTTTCAAAGAATTTCTTTACGAATTTCTTGAAATAAATGTACAATGCTAAAATAATATATATTCAAAAATGTTAATAATTTTATATGACAAATATAGGAAACTATCGAATGAGAATTAATTATAAAAGCCTGGAATATTATATTTGAAAATAGCACCTGGATACTTTTTTTATTTTATATGTTATAAATCATAAATGCATAATTTAAAATGTTCAAATATAAATAATATTGATCGATAAGACAAATTATGTTAAAATTTGTCTATCCTCGTAATATACTATTAATTTAAAGAACTTTATAGATTTAACATATCACATCATAAAGATTTTTAAAATGCATACATAGTATGTTAGATATTTCAATAAATATATATTATTTATTTGCAAATTTACTACATAAATGTATAGTAATAAAGTTCATGATAATAAATCATAAAACATTACATCACAAACCAATGGTGTTGTACAATAGAATTCAATGATTCTGTTAAAATTAATATTCTAAAAATGTTTTCTTATCATTTACGTAAACAAATTTGATTTCTCGAATTCTATCTACTAATTGGATTTATTAGTTTCAAACCTTAGTAGATAATAGTGTATAAACATTCAGATTTGTAATTATTGCGATTCATTATGGATTGTGTTATATTATATGCAAATAATAAAATATTTTTAAATTAATACTTTTAACTTGAGAAAAAGATAGTCTAATGATTAGGTATGAATAATTTTATTTTATTCAATTAAATATAATACACCTTTATATAAAAACTATTTTTCATAGAATAAAATCAGTATAAAAAATCATTGTAACTATAAAGGATGATGTCGTCATCTGAAAATAGGTAAATAAAACAAATATTCATTGCAGTAATTAATAATCATATTTTAATGACGCAATGATTGTACAAATGGATCCCCCGCTCAGACATCTCCACCCAACCGAGGAACAATAACAAGAAATACAGTGTAATAATCGTTTACAATAATAATCATAATTGTATAATAATAGACTCGGCAGAGTTTCGACTACTGAGATTTGTTACACATAAGTAAAACGCAAGAATTGTTACACACCTCTTTTGTTTTTTCATCGTTTATATAATATTTATATATAATCGTGAATTATATTATATAGGATTCATTTTATTTTCTTTGGTTTGTTGAGCCCACTCTTTCATATTTATTTGTAAATCATTTACCAATAAAATAAATGAAAAAATAATGGTCACATCATGACGTTCACGTGTCCATTCATAACTTATCATTCTATTCCGCGATATCGAATCCATTTCATTTTGCAACCTTGTCTTCATCATTTATGCTTTTTGCTATTTCCGTTTAACTTTTTAGTTGCAAATATTTGCTTGTTTATACCGTACCGGGAAACTAAATTCATCAAAGTTTCACACTTGAACTTTATTATTATACCGTTTCCTCAACTCCTCAATATTAATTCCTCGTACGATCCTTATTTCCCTTTACGATAGATATTTTGTCAACGGTAGCGATAAAGACTTTGGTTTTTTATTTTACGTTACTTTCTTCTTCTTTCATCTTTACGATTTAAAAAAAATTTTCTATCGTAGAATGTCAATAATTTGACATCAACATAATTTAATTAATCACTTATACAGTTTTGGGGCAAGTAAGACATGAAACTCGATACTAGGCCAACTATTATTCCAGTGTTTTCCACCGAGACATACGATGCGATTTCAATTATAATTATTTCTCCTTATTTTTTTTTTTTTTTTTCGTGTTTTACAACTTATTTTATTGATCATTATTTTTTGTGATCTTTTGTGTATTTCTAATTAATTTTACTTCTACGTTCATGTTTTTAGTCCTTTATATATCCTGATATTTTTCATAAACGATATAGAAAGGAGAAATTAGCAATCGTTCGTAGACATCGGGGCACGCCACAATACAGAATTTATTTAATAAAATTTATACAGATAGACAAATTGTAATGAGTTATTTCGAGAAACATAAGGTCCTCTGTATTTTTTTATACTCATTTACATTATACCTGCAAGTTGCATATTCCTGTTTTTTCCTTCATCATAAATAGGTGTATAGTTTAGGTGTGTGAATTGTTTTTATGCTATTAAGTCTTAACCGATAACTTATAAGAATGTATACTTGCTTAACATTGAATCTCCTTATTTCACACAATTTTTCAAAATCTTTTTTTCCATTCGTTCTTACTCGTTTCTCATATCTAGTTAAGATAGTTTTTTTTTCTAACCACAAAGAACGCACTAACGACCTGTATCTTCTTATTTTTTCTCATAATTACGTTATCTTTACATTCGAATTTTTTTCGCATGCATGCGCATACACACACCCATATATATATATATATATATATACACATGCGCACGCACGCGCATACATATGCATACGTATACACACATACGGTCACACACTCAGGCATACACACACTCAGGCATACACACACATCCTACACATTCATTAATTTGCTCGTGCCTGTCCAAATCACAACTATTATTCTTCTCTCAATCTTTTTGCTCTTATCTGTCTGTCTCTCTCTCTCTCTCTCTCTCTCTCTCTCTCTCTCTCTCTCTCTCTAATTCTCTCTTATTTCCTTATTTTAATCATTTCTCTATCTCACTTTCTATCTCTCTTATATTCGCTACTTAAATCTTTAATACTTACTTTTGATAAGTCATTTTATTTTTTCATTCAAGCTATTCCGATGGTGATGATCAAGTGCACAACAAAGCGCGATAATTCGTGCAAGTAAATTTGACAAACTCTCGAGAAGTGGAGCGCATTATTTTATATTTATTTTTTCATTATTTTTATTTTCAGATGTGACTTAATGATATATTCTGCACGTGGAGCCTGTAAAAATTTGAAAAGCACCAGCGAGCTCGAGCCAATGCTAGATGAAATTGAAACATCTTTACTTATGTGTGCCATCTATCTTATGTCTTCTTAGTTTTATACCAATATCAGTTGAGGAAATTGCATTGGTAGTTATTTATCTTTCATTCTTTGGTTTTTAAACATTTCATTCATAATTACGTGGTTAGTGTACGTATTAGAATATATATTTTTCAATGGCTATATGCCTCATTTCAATAACGGCAGGATAATTTTACTTAATTTACCTTTATTTTTAAAATATTAAATAAATTTATGCACTTTCATCATATAATATCGAATAATCTTTGTGTTGATTTTCACTCTATTCTTTAGCACAAAATAGTCATTTAAAATTTTTAATTCATAACATATTTACTATGTAAATCTTAAAATTTTCAAATTATTATAGATGTAACGTAGTTTTAAATAAAAAACAAGTTAATTAGTACATTATTAAATAAATATGTTCTTTTTAAATTCTTTTAGTTTGTTCAGATGAACAAAAATGCAGCGCTTATGAAAAACTACATTATTTAGTATTGTTGTATTTGACATAAACTATTTTTAATTATTGCAACGACGATAAATTATATGTTTAAATAGACATTCGAATAACAGTTTATATGCCTATATATTCTTATAACTATGCTTTGTACAATAATGAAATAGTAGATTTTTTCATATTCGCTGCACTTTCTATGTCGTAATTTCGCTTATAAACACATTCTAAGCACATAATTTTTTTCAATATAAACGAGTGTGCATTTATTTAAAGAAGCAGGACTAAATTTTATTTTATTTTCCAATAGTTTCAACTAGTCTATATATGTATAATATATAATAATTTTAAAACATTGTTCTTCACTTATAACACTGCATCAATCGAATTGTATGTATAAATATTTTTGAAAATATTACTTTACAACTAAATTTTTTAATATTTCCCTATTTTATTTCACCTGTCGATGCTCGCCTTACTTCTTCAAACCTTACAAGACTCGTTAATGTACCTCCTGTGATTTTATTATTATTACGCACGGCATTTTTCGTTCATAATTTGTAATAGATTCACATTGACATAAAATGCTTGCATTATTTGTTTATTGATGACGATCACATTGAGTACTTGAAAATAGAACAAATTTATCGGTTTTTAATTTTTATTCCTACGCTTGCTGTAATGCTAGATAATTCATTTTTACTATTTTCGATTAAAATTCATTTTTGATTGTCCTGACAAAATTTATTTTTGATATGATAATGATAATAAAAGTAAACATTTTACTTATATTAAACGTCCATTTTTTTGAGCAACTTAAAAAAAAAAAAACGATTGCAATAAATAAACTATGCACTAATACATATTTGTAATGGGACTGTTCAGTAAGTAATCATTTTATTTTAAGATATTATAAAAAAAAAAAATGTCAAGTTATTTAATTATAATCTATATTTCAAGTAAACTCGAAGGAATCGGTTCTCTATTGACTTATCTGTTAAAATGCCGTGCGTAAAATGCTAATTATAACACAGTTACTTGGAGTATATATATATATATATATTTTTTTTTTTTTTCATTCATTTATATTTATATATGTATAATTATATATATCTTTGTTTGGTGTAGGTAATCATCATCTATTTGAATACTTTCTCTCGTCTAATTTACACAAATTTTATAATCCTCGATATCATTGTAAATTTCGTAACCATTAATTATGCATTAACAGTATTGCATAATATTGAATTATATCATTTACATCAGCCTCTCCAGCATAATAGTAGACTTTGTTTTCTTTAACTCATCACCGCAATAATCACTTTTTTTTTAACACGCATACATATTTTCTATCGATCTCACTTTTATTATTTCTGTTCTTTTCTTTTTGACTAGACTCAGGCCAATAAACTCTAAATTCATATCTCATATAACGTCGATCGATAAGTCTGAAAAGCTTTCATCGCTTCTTCGATTAAAAGTCAAATGTCTGAAATCGCGTATACAATAAATAACGTTAAAAATAAAATTACATGCATTTTCTCAGGCACTCGTTCTTAATGCGAATCGCGACGAATGTAGTGTCAGTCATGACACTCGACTGTGTGAAAATCGACGTTATGTTGAGTATAATGTTGCTCTTTAACTACCAACTCACTTGAATAGGTAATTCGTAATATCGAATGATCGGTCATTTTGAACCTTCTAACATTGTTCCATTGCCTAAAATATTTAACGAACATATTTACGCACATAACGCGTGGGCGCGTACACGTTCGATTCGAAAATCTTGCTCGGTGTCATTTTATCTAGCATATTTACGCGATGGTATTATAATGCCACTAATCGCATTCTCGAACATTTTAATTGATTTTAATCACCAACATTCCTTATATCTATAATATATAATTTATATAATCTTACTCGTTTGCTCATCATTTTTTAATTTTATTTTGTTCATAATTTTGTCGATAATTTTCGGTTTCGTTTACACAATTACTTGCGATTAAAGTTATTTAAATTTCTTATCGCTATTACATTATGTACATAATTGATTATTTTGTTCATGTTGCTGTCTGCGCTAAAGGACCTTTGGCGATTGGTACTCGTATAGTATACTGAACAACACTGCTCGACAAAATAAGAATATTAGTTCTTACTTATAAGCTCTGATTAATTATTCTTAATTTAATTCTTAACATTGAGTAGGAATCTAATAGTAAAACTTATATGTGACATCAGATTTTAAAGATATCATACTTTGAAAATACCAGATACGCAATAGCGAAATGCTTTCACATTAAAATTGTACTTGTTTATGTTAAGTAAAAGAAAGATAAACTAATTCAAATATAGTTTGAAAATTATAAATTATCGTTAATTATTTATTTAATATGATTAATAAAGTAATAGAACTCTTAACTAATGAATTGCTTTTAATCAATGGAATGTATAAAAACACTTATTCCAATTTTATTTTATTTAAAATTACAAATTCTACTTACTGGTTGTAAGCTTTTTATACTAAAATAAAACCTGTAGTAAAACTATTTCATCTTTTTAAATTTAACTAATCCAACAACATTAAACTAAAATATGTTAAAAATTTGCAATTAAATTTATGATTAGTAATGCAGTAGCTACTATACATAATGCAATAAAATTTTAGAAATTATTAGTGTCGATTAGTATAAATGATTTTTAAAATTTAAAAAAATACAACATTATTTGCGACCAATATTGAAGTTATGATATAAAGTATAAATTTAGCAAGCATAAACAGAGACGCTGGATGTTGCTTTCATAATACGAGTGTGCTTCGGAATATAATAAATAAATTAAAAGAGCCTTTTAAAAAATCTTTAGCTTTGAAATTAAATCCATTTGATTTGTAGCTTGATAAATTACAGATATTTTACCTTATATGTAAAAACTAATATTACATACTATTCATTTATTGTATTTATAAATTCTCATAATATATTGAAGCCAATGATTAAATTTATATTTGCATTTTACTAGTAGTTATTTACAAAGTATACATGAAAGTAATCAAATTTTGTTCGTTATGTTCACTTAGATGTTGTAAAATATATTTTAAAGACCGCAAAGTTATTACAAAAAAAAATTAAAAGAATATTCAATTAATTCTATATATTAATATATGATTCAAAAGGGTAAAATTTCTCAAATAAAAGCGCAATTCCTTGAATAGCGTCGATATCGACCAATTGATGTGTGTACTGTTAATAAATATAACGAAGCAAACTCGCATTTTTTTTTTTATTAACTTAGTCGCAATAAGTTGTCCTTCTATAGAAATACACCCTGTATAAAAATTCTTATTCCAATCAACAAAGAACTATCAAATCTTGTATATAATCATGAGATTCCGATGTGCATTCAGAAATCTAATAAACGGATGACGCATCCTCTCAAAAAATGCCGAAATCTGACAGGTAAAAAGTGACTTATAATCAGTTCTGCATATATTTAAGTTGGCACTAAATCCTTCTTCATAAATAATTGAAATAAAGGGAAATAGAAAATTTTTTTGGATACCGAACAAGAAAGTGAGCGGAGTAACGAAGCGAGTTGAGATGTTGAAAAAATAAAAGGTTTGTGGCGTGTTTGATAAGCATCACCATTTCGAAAAGCCTTCGATTCGCCTCCTATTTGCTCACCTTCGTTTTTTTTATACTTACGGCCTCTCGTGTACGCCCGCGCGCGCACACACGGAAACCAATAATATCGTATAGATTTGAAATAAATTTCTATACTAGTTGCGCTTAAATGACACGCAATTATTAACAACGAGACTTGGGTTTAGCATTAAATTTCTCATTACGTTCGAGAAGCCAACTAATCCTCACGCATTGCCTTAGCTAATTCCACTGGTATTAGGGTATTGTCTTCATCGACTCCTGGCGGGCGCCACCATATCCTTTCGTTAGCATAGTCGTGTCGTCGTTGTATCGATTTACCCGCATCGCTAATTGATGCTCGCGGCCGTTTCATTTAGCACCGACAGCAACCGCACGCTTCGTTCGCCCATACATCGCCCTCCTTACACGTGGTTATTGAAGCCAGACTGCTGGGTGCAATTATTGATCTCCACAAGTGATTTGCGAGATGCGCTGTGCTTCGAGCTCACGTCCGGGAAATCGGCCGCCGAGGCCTTGCCTTTGCGGGGCAATGTCATCGCCTCTCCTAATGACGGCAGCTCTCGTGGTTTCCACACTGGCGAACCTGTACATCAGGAGCATAAACATGAAAGGTTGTGACATTCACGAAAGTACGATCTTCGCTCAAACAGTTAAATTGCAAAATAAGTGTGTTCGCCTTTAATTTGGAATCTCAAATTTACCAATTCTTCATTATGCCTTTATTATGTATAATTGGGTAAATATGTTCTAAGAAGACAAAATGTGGTGTTGATTATTTAATAAGTCGATTGGTACGTAGCGATCTTTCGTACAAGAGAAAATAAACAGACTTCGCGGCGATAGCCTAATCTTTATAGCATCGAGAATTTGTATTTGCTATTATTGCAGTACAAAAATTAGAAATATACCGAGTTCTTTAATAGCTGCTGGTTGATAATGTTCAGGGTGATGCGAGGACTGTATAAGCTTTGCCTGACTTCCAGTGCTGCCAGCGGATATAGTTGAGGTAGTACTTAAAGTTAAATGATTAGGCGTACGGCCGAGGCTCGTCTTTTTCTCGCTTAAAAAAGCTTGCGAATCCTCTTCACCCTCCGATTTTGTACCAGTGTCCATCTCCACCTTTACTTCCCCTATAAATATCAAAATTAATTGTTATTTTTATAGGATTTGAATTCTGGCATATAGTGTGAGCTTTCACACCCCCCCCCTCCCATGCCACTGGTAAATGCACCAATTTTATCAACTATTAAAAGTAAACATTTTATTTGACTGAATAATGAATTTAATGAATTTAATGAACTTTAATCAATATTCTCTGCTTATTCATTAACGAATATGACTTATAAATGATAGGTATTACGTTATGAATGATATTGAATTTTTTTAATTCATTGGTGGCAAATATAATGAAAGATTTAATAATTTTATTACGAAAATATAATAAATTATCATATATTAAAGCACCAATAGAGTGCATACAATATTAAGTGAAAGTGATAAAAAATAAGAGGGAGTTTTTTATTTGCTATTTTATTTTTCTAGATATATTAACATCAAGAAATATAGCATATCGCATCTATTCAACATTAATATTATGCAAATGCTAATTATAAATAATAACTTATTTTTTTACGTTTAATTTTACTTTATTATCTATTTTATGATCAAAATCAAGTTATTGTCTATTTGATGAAAGAATATTAAACATATATTTAATATTTATTGTTAATATGTTCGACAAAAATAAAAGGAAAATTTATATTAATAGGTAAGATTTTTTTTATATTATTTTCAAATATCTATTAAAATTAAGAAAAACCTTTTATTTTCTATTATCTGCCATTTCAATAATAAACAATTAGAAAATAATTAAAAATTGATCGATTCTACGTTTAATATCTGTTAGATGAAAACATTTTTTATTTTTTAATTACATTACAAATTAGTAAATACAAAAAACATTCGATAATTTTGCTTCATAAAATTCGATAAATAATATGAATTTGTAGTTTTAATATATAATGGTAATATAATTTTATATTTACTATTTATGCCGATTAAAATATTAACACTTTTGAGGGATTAACATAACAATATTAATGTGCATTCAATTGATGCATTGAATTTCATTAATATTATAAAAATTACATTTAATTTAATATAGTTGTATATAAAATAACGTGTAATGTACTTTGTGTGCTTTTAGAATATAAAATAATAATAATAAATACAAATTTGGTATAATTTATAAAATGAATGTAAATGAGTTCAACAAAGTAAAAATGATTAAATTATAAAATTATAAAAAATTTTATTAATTATCTATATAATTATATATCTATGTAAAAAAATTGATAAATTTTTGTATTTATTCATAATGTTACTGAGTAAAACAATATATTTTTAATCGTATCTAAGCGATATTATAAATATCGAGGAATATGAAGATATTTTATACGTTGAAATTAGCAGATAATCAGAGTCTGAGATAAAATTGTTGAAACATGTATAACGATATGAGTATTTAAATATTAAATTATATTAATCAAATCGAATGGTAAGTTAATACGAACAATTAAGTAACAGTCATGTAATTTCTGAATTAAAATACGTATCGCAAACAGAAATACCGCTACGTTACACGATATATTTCCCTTAATATTAATTTGCGAAAAATTTCTTGCGTAAAAAAAAAACAAAATTGAACCGATGCGATTTATGCTCACCGGAACTGTCGCTGATCGTTTTACTTCTGGTGCGGAAGGTTTGCTGTTGATGGGTCTGCTGCTGCTGCTGCTGCTGGTGCTGGTGCTGCTGGTGTTGCTGGTGTTGCTGGTGTTGCTGGTGTTGCTGGTGTTGCTGGTGTTGCTGGTGTTGCTGGTGCTGTTGGTGCTGCTGGTGTTGTTGGTGTTGCTGGTGCTGCTGCTCCTCGAGCTCCTTATCCTCTGAACTTTCTCTGTCGACCGAATGTTTAGAGTGAGAGTACTTGCGCCTGGCACCGTGCGAGTTGGCCATCATTTGTTGCTTCAACGCCTTCTTGGAGAGCGTGCCTGTGGGTAGATTGGGCGGGGTTGGTGTTGCGGCCGGGATCACATGAGGTGGGCCACCGTTTTGGGACTTGTCGCTGTGGCTACTCGTCATACGTGGAGAAATCGTCATTGGATGATGGCCACCGAGAGCTTGCAACCTGTTAAACCAGTAAATGTGGGCGTCAATACTTTGTTGGATTAAAAAATAGATTGTGCGTTAGTAATGCAAAACATAAAATTAATATTACACTTTTCGCAACTGTTAATCATTACTAAGATATTTTGGAAGACAAATTATTTATTTATCTGTATTATGGGTAGATGATTTTTGTTATTTTAAGGCGTCACTTGAATTTCTGATTAAAAATTTTATTTCTTAACATACAGTTAATAGGAAGGAAAGTTAATTATTCTTGCAATTGATATCAATATTTGTAATAAATTTGTTAGTGATTATTTGTTCATTTTTAATTCAACAAACTAATCAATGTATGCATTTCTCTCATTTATAAGTTTAAAAAATTATAAAATACATCATAAATTAGCTATTAGTATGTATAATAAGTAATTACATTAATTTTTCTTATCTTCTACGAATAATAATAATATATATCAGCAGCTTTATACCTATTAGTTCAACATTAATGAAAAATATATAATTTTCATTATATATTAATAATGGGTAAGCATTAAAAATTATGACAATTCATATGTTGCGGCTAATATTTCTGTAGGATATATATGATAATATTATTATAAATATAATTAATAAATCTTTATAAGAAGAAATAAACTTTGATACTGCTTGACAACAAATAAATATTATAAAATTTATTAATCAGAATAATATAATTATTGTTTGGTCGAACTCGATAAAATGAAAAATAATAAGATAATGAAACCAAGAGATATAAATAATTTAAACCAAATTTCTCTGCCAATAAAGGCTATAACGCGGTCTGAAAACATTAATGCAGACATCCGCGCGCGCGCGTTTTTTAGTAATACCGATATTCTAAACAATTTTCAAATTAGCCACAGTAGAAATAAATAAAACAAAAAAATTTTATAAATTTTGGGATTGTTATGTCAAACTATATATATTTAATGTAGATGGATAATATACAATTAAAATTTACAAAGTTTACAGTGCACTAGAGCAACGATATTTCAAGACAGATATCTATTACACGATTGTACTACATTCAAAACTTACCTCGTTTGTGGTATGCTCATGTTGCGTACGGACTCTCTGATAATCTGGCGAATAGTCTTTAGGAAAGAGTTGCGAAACTCGCTTGTGCTATTTGATAATACGTAGACTTTCTCGGAGCGCCGCTGTAGTTGACTGCGCAGATGAATCAACTCCCAGAGGAAATGTGACTCCATATCCTTTGCAGAGCTCGAGCGCACCTGAACTTCTGTTACTGGAATCAGTACTTGATAGCGGATTATCTCTACGTCGCCGGCGTTGGTTTTCGCTAGATTTGCTTTTGACGAGCCGCCCTACGGACACAGAATTTTTTTATTCTGTAAAAAATTCTTACAACTTCTACAGCTAATATTAATAATTCTTTCGAAAGAAATATTTAATATTGTACATGGTATGATAAAGGACGTATTACAGTTTTTGTTAATTTACATTACATAAATTTATTGAAACCTTTTGATTGACATACAAAAATAAATATTGATATGATTTAAATTGAAAATTGAAACATCTTTAAGAGATAATTTATTTTCAATTATAAATAATATTATATATATATATATATATATATATATAGTAAGATACATAATTATTATATATAAATATAAATTATTGTATAATAAAATATAATTCGATATTTATTAAAGATCGAAATTTTTCAATTTCATTATAATATATTTCAATATAATATACATAAATATTTAAATAAATTTAAGAAATATAATGGGAAATTAAATTAAAATATTATAAAAATATATTTTAACGTTATTAATTGTCTATTTGATTATACGTCGAGTTCTACATTAAATTACGATATAATTTGAATATTAATATTATAAAAACTAAAAGATAATAAAAGATAACGATACTATATTAATCTTTAATAGTGAAATTTGATTTCTTTTATCACATTTCGATATATGAAAATATTTTTATAATTTCCAATAAAATTATTTAGAAATTTGTTTCAAAAGAATATAACTAAAATGATTAAATCTTCAAATATAATTAAGTTTAATTTTAATCTTTAATTCATAAGCTTTGTTTATTTATCTCTGCTAGAAATATATTCATTAACTTTATATATGCATTTATCTCAAAATGTAATAATATTGTAATTATAATACAATAAATAACTATTAATATTCTAATTTATAATTATGGTGCGAGGTTAATATTTAAAAATAATAATTACCATAAGCTTCTTCTTTTGTCTCAATTTTTCTTTGCAAAGGAATACAACTGCTGATTTAAAAACAAAGCACATCGCGTGCAACTCTAATCCCTTTTTAATTTTTCCTAAGAAATCTGAAATATTGAGCCACTCAACACCGCCATAATAAAGCAAGTCACCTGGACTCAAATCAATTGGCTAAAAAATAACAATAGAAATATTGTCAAATTTTCTTACATTATTTATTATTATATTTAATATAACATTATTATAATCTTTAATTTAATTTAATATTATCTTATTATTATTACATATCGTAATATTTTATATACTATTAAATAATACATTAATTGTAAAATATAAAATTATTCTCCGTCTCTTTTAAGAAAAAAAAAATATATATATATATATATTTAAATAATTACCTGCTTGCAAGATTTTTGATGCTGACGGAACAAGTGATCGAAGATAGCTCCGTATTCCTCGTGTATTCTCTGCATTTCATTAATGTGTTCTGCTACTTTTTCCATACCTTTGAGTGCCTCTATTATTTATATCATAAATAAATATTTTTTATCATTTGAAACTTAATGATAATAGGAAATATTGTATATTTACACAGAAGCTAGATGAATAATGAAAAAAAAAAAACTTCTGCTAGGTGTGGGGTTCGAACCCACGCTCCCAGACGGGAACCAGAGCTTAAATCTGGCGCCTTAGACCGCTCGGCCAACCTAGCCTACAGCTGTACATTGCTCATTTCCCCGCACTTAATGTTAGACTTAAACTATAGTATCACATTCATTTTATATAAATCGATAGATTCAATTATCACTACAAACCTATTAAGTGCTGATGCTCCTCGCTTCGCTCATCTGTGAGATTTCGTAGCTGCTGTAGCAACAACGGATATTTCAATATTCTCTGAATTGGCTTGATCAGATACGACTCCAAAGTCGACGAGTGCTGCTGCCGTGGATTTCGCGCTTGTAGGAACTCTTGCAATGCTTGGTTCCCTTCGTCTATATTATTTTGTAATCAATAAATCATATTGATTGCTCGATATACTTATATAATATTATTGTTTTTAATGCTAACAATAATTAATTATATTACGATGATTATTTATTTTTAATATTGTTAAAAATTTCTTTACAAATTAACCTACTGCTATTGAAAGTGAATACAAAAACTTTATAATATTATGGAAATGTTAATTTAGCACTTTTTTCAAATAACTAGCAACAACAATGGCACACAGTAAGTATTATGTAACAATATTATCAACGTACTTGGATGTAAGACTTTTTGGGCTTTCGAATGACTGGCGCAGAATGAACTATAGAGCTTGAAGTGGTTTACATAATATAAAAAGGCACTTCCAATGGAAAACAGGACACCCTATGAATTTCAAATTGCATATTTGATTCAATTTAAGGAAATTATTTTCACGGATATTTTACATTTAACTGGCAATTAAGATTTTTCATTACCTTAAATTGACTTGGATGTTCGAAATTATTAAATTCCGCCTCTACTTCAATTGCATGATCGAGATTTTGCAAAAATTGGCGTTGGAATGTTACGATTTCTTGAATATTGCCAAATAATGCGTTTATTTCAGCATTTGACAAGAATGTCTCGCGTTTTAAAGGTTCCAAATAGTTTTCCAATAAATTATTTAAATTCTAAGAACAAACCAATCAAAAATTTTATCAATACTTGATTACTAAAAAAATTTTATAGATTCTATGCGAGATTTATAATTTAATAAGGGAGATATTAGTTTCAGTGAAATTGTAACTTTTATCAAGCTGAAATTATTATGCACTAGTACCACATATATTATCAGAAACAGCATTATCTTCAAAATAAAAATTTGATTTTTTAATGATATAATTTCATTAATTACTTATTATTCAAATTCAAATTTTTATGATATTAAAAAAATATATTATTGTATATTTTATTAATATCACTAAAATAATTTTATTTTAGCAATGATTTAAGATTTAAACTGTCTATATAATAAATCAGAAATTTTGTATTAAATTTTTCAGGATATTTTTAATATCTTGATGGATATGCAAAAATAGAAAATATTTTGCCCGTAAAAACTTTCATAAATTTAATTAAAAAGATAATCCGTGTAAGAATTATATCCGTATCAATACAAAGACGAGCATTAATTTGACAATTCAAATGTTTACTTGGACTTTGAAACACTGAAATTTTACATTCTATATTATGTTATTTGTCTAGATGATTAATTTAACTTTTTTTTTAAACTAAAGTTGCAACTACCGATGAAAATATAATTTTGTTCCAAACGTATTGAGTATAATTTTGTATCATAATTTTTTAATTAATTTTTTTCATTAACTTTATTTTAGAGTAATACTATGTTTTATTATATTATTATATAATATATTATAATATATTATAGTTAATTATATTTCTCTAATTTATTATATTACTGTAATTATGTAATTTATATTTTTATAATTCATTATATGTATTTGTAATATACTTTCCTTAATTTACGTATTTTTTTTACATTACAGAAGTTAAGTATTGAGGTCCGTTCAAATTCGGAAATGTACACAGTAAAATTATCTTGTGTATTAATATAAGTTCTATGAGTATACATTTAATTGTTATATTTTATATTTTAAATATTCAATTGAAACATTCGAGTTAATTAGAAATGAATAATAGACATAAATATAGAGAAATTATAAAATTTTTAATTTTAGCCGTTTAAATGAAAAATCTTAAACATCAAATGTAATTTATAAATAGAAAAATATGTCATAAATCAAAAAAAAAAATTATAAAGTGTAATTTTATTAATCGAATATTAACAATAGTATTATAAATTATACGTATTTCTGTATTTGACTCCATCATAGTAATAACTTTGATTTCAAAATAAAAGCTTATGGGTTTTTAGTAAAAATAAAATTGCTATATAAAATTTTATAAAATTTATATGAAGCATTTGTTGGTATAATAAATTGTGAAAATAAACCAAATAATATTTACACTGACTTAGTCTTTTATTTAAGCTAATGATATTAATACAACACTTAGTTGTTTGTTAGATATTAATTTTAATTTAGTTGATTAATAATAAAAGAAACTATAATTTATCCGAAGATTTTAATAGTATATGCATCGTTATTTTTTTAAATATTAAACAATAATTTTAAATGATTTTTATTATGATATACTTTTTATTTAGAAATTTAACGTATTTCAATGTTTAAAAAAAGTTCAAAATAACTTTTACAAATAAATATAGAGAATACACAATAAAAGCAATTTTTAATTTAACGTTTAAGTTTATAAAAAAAAATTGAGATATTTTTATTATTATATAATGATAACGATAATTTTTATAGCTATTCATTTACAATTCTTTTTCGATAAATTTATAAATGAAATTTTATAAGTTATTACGTAAAGTATTGATTTCTTATTCTTAAAATATCTGTTAAAATACATTATTATTATTCGAGTTGTAATCAATTGAATTAAAATTTAAGCAATCACTTCAAATTTATATAACCTACACATTTGCAAGGAAAGTATATTATTTTTTATTAATTTTCCTATAAGCTAGTAGAAGATGGACGTTTTTTTAAATCACAAATCCACCAATCAAACCAACTACAGTCTTCTTATTATTAAAGCATTATTAAGGAAACTGACTTATACAGAACAAAATTTAAATTTTAAAAATATTCCCTAATCTACTATACGCGATACAGGATACCTTTTCTCCTTCGCACATGCAATCAATTAACAATGTATTTACTAGATTTGCGTAGCATACCTTGACGTAGGTCCGCTCGGTCTCCACGAGCTCCAGTATGACTTTTTTAAGCTTCTCGGCATCGGTGAGTTGTCGACTAGGCGTTAAGACTTGTGAATGGGCGCTCAGGAGGCTTCCGGTTGGGCTTGATTTGCGGGTTTCCACTGGCGAGCGGCAGATACCCGTCACTTGCTCAGCTGTCTTCAGTAGGTTCTCGATTTCGAAGGAGTTGGTTCGCGAGGCCTGCTTGCTACCTTCTGCATGTACGTCCAGTGAGTCCGGTAGGTTTTCCTTACCTATGTTATCCAGCAGAAGCCGTAATAACATTTTAACCGCTCAATTCCAAAATACTAATCTATGATTCTATGAGTATCTGAGTATTTGATCTCGATGTTTTTACACCTCATTTATCGCTCGTCTTTATAACGTCTTTATAATTAATGGTGTATTTATAAAGAGCTAGAACATGCAACCATTGTTGAACACGCAACTATTGTTTCATGTCATCTATCATGAAATACGAGTTCACTCGGCACACAAGAAACTTGATAAAAACGCGAGTCTCTTCTTTGATCGTAGCTTCGAGCTTCCCGCAAAAAAATAATAGATCTGAATTCGCGACTTTTGCCATCGATGCTTAGGAAGCTTCGTCTCACTCATAAAGAAGGCAGGATAGGCGCGAGTAACAAATAAAAAATAAAGAATACTCGTCCCTTCTACTTTGCGGTTCAACGTTAAAAAGGCACTCGCGGCAAGAAAACACAAAATGAAAAAAGAACAAGCCGATTCGAACAAAATACCGTAGCGTGATACTTGGTTTACATCTCTCGCTGGTAACATCAGGCTATCGTTATGAATCATCCTACCCGTTCTTAAGCGCGACCTACATGTGCCATTCTATGCATCCTTCAGCCCTCATTATAAATGCGAACTAACGGCATCGTTATAAATGCGAGCCAGATGATACGGGTAAACGGATGGAAAAAGTCGCGCTCACTTTGAAGACGCGAATTGCGCGCCAGTCTTTATGTCGATTCAAGGGCCATATTTAATTTACTGTAAATGAGTTATGTGCCGGCAGAAATCGAGGTTAGGCATCGAATTACATCAATATATCCAATGCATTCCATTTTTTCAAATTATTTCCGTGCAATTTTATCGTGAATATATTAACGTTCATATAATGATCTCATTGGTAACTCAGCCTGCAATATGATTTATGAACTTTTTAATCTAGTCTGTATTTGAAAATTTTTTTTATTTGTCATAAATCCATAAGATTTACATAACCTAAAAGTACACGTATTTTATTTCTTTTATAATTGATGACGTCGTATAATCTAAGACAGTTTATAATTAAAGTTAATGAGTAATTCTTAAACTGTCATAATACCTCAAGCTGTATAAAATTTAAAAAGGTGCTTAAAAATTTTATTAAATTTATTTTACCAAGCCGATAAATTGCAATCCGTCTTTACCAACTGATCGATTACGTTGTATTAATATAAAAAAAAAAAAAAAATTTAATGACGAAAAATGTACCTACACATTTATGCAAGCATTTCGACTTAATTATTACAAAAGGATAAAATGTAAATATATTTAAAAAATTTGATACATTTTTCTACACGATAAAATCATCTATTTAAAGTTACATCAATTATGTGAAAAACACAAAACACTCAATTACATGTTCATAAATTTCATATTTGCATATTTACATATAAAACATATGTAAAATAAATTGTTAAATTATAGATAAATTAATAAAAAATATAAAAATAATACCTAATGTACATACCAAATATATGATGTAAGATGAAAACATTGAATATAAAAGAATGTAGTACGGCGCATTGTATTTTGAAATAAAAATATTTTTCATTTGCAATAAATTCATTTACAGGCTTGCTGTATAATTATTGTATTCATTAACGTTAATCTTTGTATTTTTTTCTGTGGAGTCTCGTACTTAATTTTGAATCGATAAAAGTAAAAATGTACTTTTGTTAATTTAATAGCTAGTAAAATAATGTACCAATTTTCTACCTCAATAAAATTAAATCAATTTTCTACCTCTTAGATGTAGCTATTACAATGAGACTACTATAGTTCTAATATCGTCGTATTAAAAATAAAATAAACTTCTGGGCTCTCAAAGTATTTTACGATATCATCGATAATAATAATATCGAAATGAATGAAAGTTCGATTAACTTTGTATTAACTTTAGCATAGTTAAACGCCATCATATCACAATCGATGTAATTCGCTTCCTCTAACGTGTTCCATTAAACAATGATAAAAGTCTATGTATGCACAAAAATATTTATACAAATAAATACGAGTGTAGCGGTTAAAAAAATGCTATAAATATAAATTCGCGTTCGAAAGTACAGCGTTCGAGCGCTCTAGACGTGACGAATAGTCAAGAAGTTGATTAACATGAGCAAGTTATTACAAAAGGGAAAGTGTACTCACTCCAACCGGGCGCAGGCACGATCAAACCGGAGATCATCTCCTCGCTGATGACGGGTGGATCCGTAGGTGGGGGTGGGCACACGAGACTCTCGATGATATCGTCGGTAACCCTCATAATGCCGGTCAGGTCGGGTGGCTCCGTTCGCGATGAACGCATCATCATACAAAGTGCCTGCTCCTCCTGTAGGACACTCTCGAGATACATCATATCCAGATCACTCACGATTGCCCCGTTGATCACCATGATCTCATCCCCCTTTATTATGCCTGTAACAAGTAACAAGGCAATATCTTATTTAGACTTGACATACCAAGTAACGATATTGGTTTCAAGTTGAATACCGTTCTTGAAAAATCAAATACTTTTAATTATTTAAACTTGACGTCGTGGATGGAACAATTATTTTTAATAATAAAGTGTCGGTAGAATTTTTAAAAATATGAAAAGTTTGATTGGCTTACCGGTTAGTTTAATTATATATATGAAAAATTCTTGAATAAATTTGATTTTTGTTTAGGCAATATTTATCTAATCAGGAAACATTAAGCAAAAGTTCGCAACATAAAATATTTAATGATTTAAAAAAAAATAAAGACAATTAGGGATGTTCCATTATTATCATTTATTATATAATGTTAAAATCAAATATTTTTTAAGAAATCATATATAAATACGTATGTAATTGATAAAATGCACTTTAAATATATATATTATTATTGGAGAAATTTTTAAAAATTTTTTAAACGAAATAGAAATAATGCGTGTTATTGAATGTAAAAAGCATAATACTAGCTACTGAAATAGACCTTAGAAGTCCTCGAAAATGAATTTAAATAAATATAAAATAAATATGTAATTTTTAAAATAAATATAAAATTTTTAGAACATACAATGACATGATACAAATAATGGGACTCCATATTTTTTAATTAGAGAACTATTAATTATAGAGAAATGAAATAAGGTGAATGAATATTTGCGTTGGATGTGTGTGGAATGAAATAAAAAATTTAAATGCTACAATATTTCTTGATATTTTTTTAAAAACTGTTGAAAAGTCATATGCGAAATGTATTTATATATTTCTCATTAAAATAACTCATTTATTTATTTTTTCTTCTTTACCTTAGATATTTTTCTTTTACATGAAATTATTTTGTGAAAATTAATTCGGCTGAGAATGAAAAAAAGGTGACGGGCGGGGCGGGGGGAGGAGGGATCACTCTAACACAAGTCGGAACAAAATGAATGAAAAATAAACCAATATAATGATTTCTTCGAATTTTCATTACCTATTATATTTGTAATTAGCAAAGTTACAAATTCTGAATGCTAACAAAATAATACGTATCTATTAAAAAAAAATTCTCAAGGGAGATATTGAGTGAAAAATCTCAAAAAATAAAAAAATAACATGAAATGACAATTTTTTCAAAAATTGTAACAAAAAAAAAACAAATCTCATGAAATCAAGTTACAAAACTTTATGCAATATGAATTACAAGTGTCAATAAATTTTATTTTGCTTACACAGATCAAATCACAGAGTATTGCAGAAAATACATAATCACGAGGCAGTGATACTTTATGCTATTTCAACTGTTATCTGTATAATTAAATCGGAATGGTGAAAACAGGTTTAACACGTAGATAAAATAGGAGTCGGAAGAACAGTATTCGACGTTGTTGCAAGATAATAAAAATAATTATAACTAAAACGCACACTGAATCATTAATCAATACTAAAAATTTGAGAAAGTCTCATGTTTTGACTATTCAATATATTGTACAATAATTTTTGTTGTAAAATGCGATCTTAACTATTACTACAACAAATATTTTACAAGTTGATAAATATTACGAAATAAAAATAAGAAATTTATGAAAAGTTTTTAAAACTCTCTCATTATAGGTATTATAATTTTAATAAACAGAACGCTAATAATAAACTTTAATAAACAAAAACGCTATTGTTAAGAAACTTTAGTGTTTTAATTAATTTCAGAACCACAAGTTAAATTCAATATTAAAATAGGTAAAAACATAATTAAATATATATTAACAGTACATTAGTTTTTAGACATAAATAAAAATTAATATTTAAATATTTATATGTTAATTATTATATTCAATCAATTATAATATTTAAGTTATGTAACCATATAATTTAATTATAAACTCCTTTTAGAATTATATGAAAAATAAATTAATTTTACGGTGACTTATTAAAACTGTAATTTGAAGTATAAGATGAAATTAATAATTAAATTAAGTAAGAATATAAAATTATTTAAAAATTCACAGAATAAATTATTATAAATAGAAGATTATACACATTAGTTTAATCGTATCAATATCAATTTAATTGTTATTCGAAAATATAATCTAATATATATCTTCTGTCTAATAATTGCTTCTACTTAAATCATTTATAATTTAGTAAATATAATCAATATACTGTATTAATATAATAGTAGTTATACTGAAGTATTTAATACTGAAGTAATATAATAAATATATTCATGTATTATACCAAAACTTTAATAATTTATTATGTATTGTGTATTATGAAATTATATTATGAAAATAAATGTATTATAATGCAACATTTTCGTATAATATAAAATCGAATGATTCGTATATCCGGAATAATTAATAAAACAAAATTAACTGCAATATCTATTAAAAATAAATACGAATTTTGTTTTTCTCAACTACTAACAAATTATATTTCAATTAAATAATTTCAATTTTTACTTCTGATGTCTATGAGTTTATTTTAATTTAAAATCTGTACTTTTAAATTTATATTTAAAAATAATCATTTCAAAATAAAACCGTACGAGGAGTAAGCAAAATCAGTTGAAAATTTTTCTTTTTTAATATATACAAAATGTGTCGTTGTACATAAATTCAATGTATTATTTTAACTTCTTACTTTATGATAGTTACATGAATATTTATTTACGTTAAATATTAAGCTCCATTGATTATATATAAATACATCCGAATTGCTAAATATCTAGAAAATATTATATTTTATAATTTTGTATTTCTATGTATAGGTACAATTTTTTTTTAATAGTTCATTCATTTAAAAATTTCCTATACTACAATTCTATATTAGATAAATTATAATACTGTAATTATATAGTGTAATTCTGTTTGTCTAATTTTATATAAAAATTTCGTTCATAGTTGTTATTTAATTTTCGTTATTGATTATATTTATTATTCATTTTTTATTTACATAATTTATTTCTAATACTCTAACAGTTCACCATCAGTTTTACTTTGTTATGTTAAACCCTTAAGTGAAAACGAACAACTCGCTTTCTCTGTAATTGATTAGGTATTATCGACGATTAGATTTACAATTATGTTCCGAGTAATGTACACTACTCTAACAGTAATTTATATTTATATTAGGTTTTAAATTTATAATTTTGTACGAAATAATTTAAATTACTTATTTAAATATGCTAATGCTACAAATTTTCCGACGTTACCATTATTGATCTTATTATTCTAGCCTTATTATATAATGAATTAAATAAAATATTTTAATAATTTTCACATTTTAATATTTTAATGGGTATAGTATAATGGATTTGTATTTGAATATTGTATTAACGTATTCCTAGAGAAAACATTGATAATCTTTATTATACTTATCTACTGATTTAGATGTTTATGTAGATTTTTCAGCAAAAAAAAAACTTTATATATTTTGTTTTTCTCAACTACTAACAAATTATATTTTAATTAAATAATTTCAATTTTTACTTCTGATGTCTGTGAGTTTATTTTAATTTAAAATCTGTACTTTTAAATTTATATTATTACAGGTTGTTTAAAAGTTATTAATAAATTAATTATTTTGTATGAAATGATTATCATTCATAAATTATAACCGACACTTAAGATTTATTTGGATAAAGCTAACAATGCATTATTATTTATTAATTTTCAAAAAGTGGTTCTATTTCAAATTCATAAATAATGAAAAATTCGTTAAATCAAAACTTGTATACTTAGAATTTGTATTCTTTGTTACTAATATTTTTTTTTAATGGCTTCATAAAGTTGATTATAGAAACCGTGGCATAATATTTAATATCTAATAAATGATATATAGGATCTTTATATAGTACAGTTTGTAGAAGATTATAAATTTTCTTTGAAAATGAAATATTCACAATCTACTTACAAAAAACTTGTAACGTATATTTATTTAAATTTATTGAAATACTTATTACAAAATACGTAGTGAAAAAATTTTATAATTTATATAAAATATAGATTATAATTAGTTTTGTAATTAGCTTTTCTGCATCTCTTCTGAAATGCGTACTTGCAATAATAGATACGAGGCATCAATTTGTAATAATGATAAATATATATATTACATATCTGTTATCTATAATTTTGAAACTCATTTATTTTAAAATGAAAATGTTAACTAAGAATTCTGAAGTTCTGCTATGAAACTTTAAAAATACACAAACAGTATGAAAACAATTATTTTCATTTCTAAAATAAAATATTGCAGAAAATAAAATGCAATTTGCTGATGGAAAATTACTTGAATTTATAACATTGAATGCCGTAAAAAACAAAATATGGGGAAATTGGTAAAAGAAAGCGAAACAAAATAACAAGATTAAGTAAACAGGATGTTTTGCATTGAGCTGCAATTTGATTTATCCTTTCTGCTCCCATTTGCAGAAAAAGTAATTTTTTTCTGTATATATAATATGACTACTTATTCTACTTATTTTTTCTTTTTTTTTGTATTCCATAGTTTTTATTTAATAATGACGTTCTGTATTTTTAGTTAGTTTTTTAAACAAATAATTACTAAGTATAATTACGATATGGATTCCATTAAAAAAAATTGCATTCGCAATATTAAAACACTTATAATATTTGTTATACTTTTAAAATTAGACAGAAAATATCTTAATTTAATTTTTTATTTATAATTTATCAATATTAAAAGAATCATATTCACTGGTTGTTTAAGAATACCATTATATATTGTTTTGTAATTTGTTATTAGATACAACTACAATGAACTACAAAACAAAAGCTACAAAATATGCCATTTTTTATTATTGTATATCTTCGTTTTTCTCTTTTCTTTTTCCTTTCCTTCGTTCTTTTTTGGTCCACTATTTATCACTTTGTTTTTATTTCTCTTTGTCCTTCTTCCTTTCACTCTCCCATTATTATTGGCAACTCTCAATTTTCTAATTTTAAATTA